CGCTAGCACCGCCAGCTCCAGCAGCTCCAGCCTCAGTGCTCCCAGAACAACCAGCCCCGGCAGCTCCAGTACCTCCAGTACGAGCACCTCCAGGACGAGCAGCTCCAGAACCTCCAACTCCAGCAGGGCCACGAGGACGGCGAAAGCGCCGGACGTACCAGTCACGAAGCTGCTGCTGTGTGAGAGACGGCTCAGCACCCCGAACCGGAGCACCCCCAGACGCAGCAACCCCAGGCTCCGCAGGCTCAGTCGCAGCACCCCCAGGCTCAGTACCCTCAGGCGCAGCACCCCCAGGCTCAGTACACCCAGGCTCCGTACACGCACGCTCAACACCCCCAGGCGCAGCACCCCCAGGCTCAGCACCCCCAGGCTCCGTACTCTCAGGCACCGTACCCTCAGCTCCAGCACCCTCAGTCCCAGCACCCGCAGCCCCAGCACCCCCAGGCCCAGCACCCCCAGGCTCAGCACCCCCAGGCTCAGCACTCCCAGCAGCACCACCCGCAGCAGCACCTGAGTCACCTGTGACCTCGACAGGCTCAGCGACGGGAGGAGGGTCTACCTGAGAGACACCTGAAGGAGCAGGACCCTGAGGGGGAAGGGGGTCTACCGGAGGGGGACCAGGAGCGAGGAAAAGCGGCGGGGGAGGGAGGGGGGCAGTGCGGTAGGGGAAGAGACGGTAAAAAGGGACCGACTCGTCAAAGGTGACGTCCTGAGAGGCGAAGACCCGGCGCGAGGTGGGGTGGTAAAACTGCCAGCCAGGCGCGTCAGGGACAAAGCCAAGGAAGACACAGGGGACAGCGCGGGCGGAGAGCTTGTCCGCGGTGGTATCGCGGACAAAGGCACGAGAACCCCAGACCCGGAAACGCGACGCATCGCCAACCTCCCCCGTCCACAGCAGTGTGGGCGAGGTCTCCGGCAAGGAGACACGGGGCCAGAGGTTGAGCTGATGCGCGGCGTACCGGACCGCAAACGGCCACAGAAAATGGGGGGCAGCCGCATGGACCATGGAGGTACGAGCGACCTCCATGACCAAGCTAATGCGGCGCTCAGCAACCCCATTATGCTGCGGAGAGGCCGGAAGCGTGAACGACTGGGTGATGCCGTGCTCCGCACAGTAGGCTGCCAAGAGGTCGGAGGAAAACTCACCACCTCTGTCAGAGTGCAGACGCAGGACGGGAAACTCCGTCCCGAACCGCCGGCGGAGCTGGAGACGAGCAGCGCGGATCCAGGGGATCAAAACAGTAGGGACCTCACCCTTGGTGCGCAAGGGGAAGACCGTGGTGTAACGCATGTAGTCGTCGACGACCAGCAGGAAGTACCGCTCGTGGTCCTGTCCACGGACGCGGGCTGGGCCCCACACGTCCAGGTGGAGAGTCTGCAAGGGAGCCTCTGTGGGAGGGAACGAGGAGGAGTGAGGAGCGGCGCGCTGCCGCCCCTCGACACAGGGAAGACAGGGAGGAGCAGGCGAGGGTGGGAGGGGAGGGAGAACTCTGGGAAGACCAGAGACAAGGACACGACGGTGCATGCTGCGAAGGCGCTGCACCGAGGGGTGACCAAGGCGGTGGTGCCAAAGGAGGGTCTCGTGCGACAAGGCGCGACACAAGCAGGGGGCCGACAGCTGACCTGACGCAGACGTAGACGCAGCTACCTGAGGGGACTCAGTGGTCAGGGTGTACAGGCTCGAGCCAGGCTCACGGGTGAAAGTGGCCAGGTGTCGGCCCGTCCGAGCACACGTACAGTGAGTCACCCGCTGACGCGCAGGAGTGAACTGGTCAACCCCCCCATCCTGGAGGTCAGCTCCACTCACCAGGTTCGTAGAGAACGAGGGGAGGTAGAGACCTGACAGCAAGCCAGACGGGGCGGCCGGACACGGCAGAACCGTGGAGTAGTGGGCAAGGACTGGACCCCCAGAGGGGTCGGCCAGGGAGACTGCAACCGGCCGACGAAGCGGCGTAAGTGTGGTGCAGTCGCGAAAGAAGGAGCGGGAAGCTCCTGAGTCAAGGGTGAAGGTGTGCAGGGTCGCAGCAGGCGAAGAACCAGAGAGGGCAGACTCACCAGGACCTGGAGCAGCAGCCTCACCAGCACCTAGAGCTGGAGACGCAGTAGCACCTAGAGCAGCAGCCTCACCAGCACCTAGAGCAGGAGACGCAGTAGCACCTAGAGCAGCAGCCTCACCAGTACCTAGAGCAGCAGGCGCGATACCTGGGTCAGGCGGCGCACACAGGTAACAGGCACGGTCAGCACTAGTAGGCAATGCATACATGGCAGTGAGAATAGCATCATAGTCAAGAGCAAATATATCTACTCTCTGCCTAAGTAGCTCCACCCAGTCGGGGAGCTCAGCCCCGTCGCCAAACTCGGTGCGCCAGGCGTCGCTCAGACGGGCGAAGCAGCGGGACTGCGTGTGACTAGGTGTCCCGCAAGGCTGACCAGTCCGAGCACCAGTGCGAATGACGTAAGAGCAGCGAACAGAACTGAGAGACCCTCTACTCTGAGCGTACCACTCACGCAGCTGCTGGGGCGTGAGGGACTCACGCGGACGTCGCTGGGGCTGCATCTGGCGTCGGCCAGTAGCAGCAGGTCAGGCAGGCAGGCAGGCCGGCGGCGCGGCAGCGCGCTAGCAAGGCAGGGGCTCACCAGTAGCAGGAAGAGCAGGCTCTCACCGGGCGAGCAGGGCCGGTGCTCGGCGGACGGCGGCAGGGTCAGCGTACGACGGCGGCGACAGCAGGGCCGTGGCAGCGGCTACAGTGAAGGGCCGGATCGAGTCAGCGGCAGGGCAGGGCCGGGTCGTGGCAGCGGCAGGGCAGGGCCGGGTCGTGGCAGCGGCAGGGTGGGGCCGTGGCGGCGGTAGGGTGGCGCGAGCCGCTGCCGGGGGCCGTGCACTGGCGGGTAGGGCGCGGCGCGGGCCGCGCGGACGGCGCGCAGCGCGCTGCGGGCCGCGGACGCGCCGCGCGGACTTGGGGCGAGCTGCGCGGGGCAGCGGCGGGCCGCCAGCGCGTCGCGCGGGCTCGGGACGGGCTGCGCGGGGCAGCTGCGGGCCGCGCGCGCGTCGCGCGGGCTCGGGACGGGCTGCGCGGCAGGCAGCGCGACGGCGGGCAGCGCGGCAGGCAGTGCGACGGGCGGGCAGCGCGGCGGGCAGCGCGGCGGGCAGCGCGACGGGCGGGCAGCGCGGCGAGCGAGCAGCGCAGCGGGCGGGCAGCGCGGCGTGCAGCGCGACGGGCGGGCAGCGCGGCGAGCGGGCAGCGCAGCGGGCTGCGCGACTGGCGGGCGACGCGGCAGGCAGCGCGACGGTGGGCAGCGCGGCGGGCAGCGCGGCGGGCAGCGCGACGGGCGGGCAGCGCGGGCGCACGAGGGCGCTAACGAGGGGCGCACGAGGGCGCTAACTGGGGCGCGTGAAGGCGCTAACGAGGGGCGCGCGAGGGCGCAGCGAGGGCGCGCGAGGGCGCTAACGAGGGCGCGCGAGGGCGCTAACGAGGGCGCACGAGGGCGCAGCTAGGCTAGGGCACGGGGTAGCGTGGTAACCGCATGCGAGCGGTGGTGGGCCCTAAAAAAAAAACGGTCGGTAGGTCCTAGGGACCTCCTGCTCTGATACCATGTCAACAAGACTAGGCAAGAATGGTGCATTGAATGAAACAGTTGGGTACAAGTAGCAAACCCTAGTTGGGGTTGTACCGTATCGCCCCGGATAAAAGCGCAGGCCTATGATAAGCGCATGCGCTTCTATCTGGAGCAATGCGCTTATGGCCGATCCTCAATTATAAGCGCACCCCCTGTAAAACCCTGACTTATTATAAGCGCATGTATAATATTAAAATTTGAATTTGCTTGAAACGGTAACGAAATTCCAATTTGCAGCGAGGTCACACCAATTTCGGTTCGATTGACTCGCGAGGACCTTACATTCTGCGCGTCCAGTCATTATGAGCTGGAATTCCGGCGCAATGACGTGTAACTGCCCCTGTGTGCCCGCAGAAATTCGCCCGCGTGCGACTCTGAATTGTGACCCCCTATCATTGCGCTTCGATTAAAATTGCAATAAGGGGATGTACAATCTGGTGCAGTAAGAATATAAATTTGTATTAGTCATTATATAAGCGCATGCGCTTATATTTTTTACTCAATTATAAGCGCACCCCCCTAAAAAACACTGATTTTTGATAAGCGCACCTGCGCTTTAATCCGGGGTAATACGGTACCCCATATTGGCTACCCCACTACAGCCTACCAACATGTAACACATTGCAATTTTACACCACCTAGTCTCATTTCATCATCTCAACTTGAGTTCCCGCCCAACCCACCACTCATACACATCGGCGATTTAGATAGCTTGTTTGCCATATTTAACTTTATCTATATCGTTACTTATACAATTGTGCCATGTAATTGATGATGATAAACTATGACGACTGCATTGCAGACTCCTTTCAGAGTCTTGTCACAACTTCTTCATTAAACGCTTCCGCTATTACATCATCTCTACCCAGAGTTTACCCTTGCAAAAGATCCTAAGGGCTGTCTCAGCCCAACAGTTCTGTCCTTGCCCTACTGTTTACACTACTTATCCGGCTGGCTACTGTTTCTTTGTTATGTGTCAAGAGGGTGTGCCAATACTGTATCTGTGAGTATAATCCAATCCTGGGTTGTTGTCACCAGTATGTAATGAAGTCATTCCCGCACAACGCTTTGATAACGTATAGTAATCCTGAATAGAAAACTTCGCAATGGTGCTGAAGAGCTATGGCAATTTAGCAGGTAAGAATCCCCATGATCCATCCATACCCTTGGAACATAGTACAGTACGGTAAATGACACTCAACAACATCAAACTCCCCACAGCACAGCACAACACAATAGAACACCCCTTAGACGACTTTTGAGACGAGGTGACTTTTGAGTCGACTCAAAAGTCACCACAGCACAACACAATAGAACAAACCTCAGACGAATTTTGAGACGTCTCAAAAGTGGTAACTCCCCACAGCACAGTAGAACAAACCTTAGACATCAAAGCTCGTCGACGATCCCATAGCCCCACTCCCCACCACCCCACTCGACCCCATAGCACCGCTCGACACCGAACCCCCGTCTCCCTGCCCTGAAGCAACCTGCTCCGCCCTCCGAATCTCCCTTGAAAAGCTCGGCCCGCGGCGGTTCGCCAGATCACTGTCAATGCGCACCACCAAGGGGTCGGGGTCAGCACCGAGGAACTCCTCCTTCATGGCGATGAGGTCGGAGAGAATGCGCGCCATGGAGGGCCGGGTGGCCACGGGCGTGGCCAGGCAACACGGCACACTCATACGCCGCTATCAACAAACTCCAATTCCCCTATCGACCCCATCCCAACACTAAGCCCCGACCCCGGCGCCCCTTCCCGCTCTGACGCCACCGCATTCGCCCGCCGAATCTCCTGCGAGAAGCTCGGCCCGCGGCGGTTCTCCAAGTCACTGTCGATCCGAACCACTAAGGGGTCGGGGTCAGCACCGAGGAACTCCTCCTTCATGGCGATGAGGTCGGAGAGAATGCGCGCCATGGAGGGGCGGGTGGCCACGGGCATGGCGGTGCAGGAGAGGGCGAAGCGCGTAAGTTTGAGCACCACATCGTTGGGGGCATCGAGCCGTGGGTCCTTGATGGCCTGGGCGTTGTTTTCGGCAACCAGGGGTTGCACCTGGTGGGGCGCAGGCGGGAAAGAGGGGGTGGGGGGAAGGGAGGGAAGGGGGGAGGGGAGGTGCAAACAGGTAAGGGATACAGGAAATACAGGGTCCATCACCCCCGAGAAACTCCTCCTTCATGGCGATGAGGTCAGAGAGAATGCGTGGCATGGAGGGGCGGGTGGCCACGGGCGTGGCGGTGCAGGAGAGGGCGAAGCGGGCGAGCTTCAGAATGACGTCACTGGGGGCGTCCAGCCGCCGGTCCTTGATGGCCTGCGCGTTGTTCTCGGCAAGTAAGGGTTGCACCTGGGGGAGGGGAAAGGAGGGGGTGAAGAGGAGGAGAAATGCATGAAACACTAAGGCATCGCATGGCGTGAGCTTGGGCACCACATTGCTGGGAGCGTCCAGCCGCCAGTCCTTGATGGCCTGCGCTTTGTTCTCGGCAACCAGGGGGTGCACCTGGAGTGGGGGGGAGAAGAGGTGCTTTTGAGTCGACTCAAAACCAGGGGGTGCACCTGGAGTGGGGGGGAGAAGAGGTGGAGAAATACCAGAAGCACAATTGGCATGGCATGAGCTTGAGGAGCATGTTGCTGGGGGCATCGAGATGGGGCACCATATGCTCAGAGCATTGTTTATGGCAGCCAGGGGTTGCACCTGGTGGGGATCAGAAGGGGGCAGACAGGTGGAGAGATATACAAGAAGCATAATTGGCATGGCATGAGCTTGAGGAGCACGTCGCTGGAAGCATCGAGACATGGGGGTCCTTTGATGGCCTGGGAGTTGCGTGCGTGCGATGTCTAGGAGCTGATCTTGAGAAGGGGGAGCGGAAGAGATAAAAAAAAAAAGGGCATCATATGTCCAGAACATTGTTTCCGGCGACCAGGGGTTGCACCTGGTGGGCGTCAGAAGGGGATGTACAGGTGGAGAGGTGCACCTAGAGGCATAGCATGAGCATCATTATATGGCCCGCGAGTTGCGTTGTATGCATGAAATGTCTATACAATAGGAGCCTAATCATAGATTTGAAGGAAAGCAAAAAATCCCCATGGTTGTGACATTTGTTCAAACCCCCCTTCCCAATCCACCAACAATCCTTCCATTTATTTATCCTCCCGATCCACTCACCCATCTGTTCATACGTGCACTTACCCATTGCTTGAGATTGATTTGACCTTCGTCCAAGCACTCTAGAGCTTTCCGGGAAGTAATCATTGTCAGCATCACAACTCCGAAACTGCAATTAAAGATGGCATCAAACAAACATATATGGGTTTATGAATGAGGAAAAAGGTAAGTGTTCTGTAGCTTGAGAGAATTTTGAAGGGGGTGTTTCACCTTAAATCAGTACTGCTGCAGTGCTTGCTTGCGCGTTTCACATTCCTTACCTGTGCATATCCGCCATAGGATAGGGGTTGGTCTTCTACGCATAGCCTTCTGCGACTAGAAGTAGATGGACAAGGCGCACATAGCCTGATGTTCCCATCACTTGTTCCCATCACTCGTTCACATTCCTTACCTGTGCATATCCGCCATAGGATAGGGGTTGGTCTTCTACGCATAGCCTTCTGCGACTAGAAGTAGATGGACAAGGCGCACATAGCCTGATGTTCCCATCACTTGTTCAAATCACTTGTTCACATTCCTTACTTGTGCACATCCACCATAGGGGTTGGCCTTCTGCGACTAGAAGTAGGAGATGACTTTTGCGACTAGAATTCTCATATCCACCATAGGCGTTGGCCTTCTGTGACTACAAGTAGATGGACAAGACACATATAGCCTGGTGTTCCCATCACTTGCATCCTCACTCACCTGTGCACATCAGCCATGGGGGTGGCCTTTTGAGACTTGAAATAAGCAGGGTCAACATAGCCTGGCGTTCCCATCACTCTCGTCGCAATCACAGTGGTCCCCTCTCCCAAACGCACCAGACCAAAATCAGCCACTTTAGCCTGCATGGAATCAAACACAAAAAGGAAGAGAAAAGGGAGGACTAGTCGGAATGCAGGGCAAGTGGAACAAGGGAAACTTGGATTTCCATTGAATAGAAAACGAAAAGGTAAACGATGGCATTAGGAGCAACTGGCCATCTCTCCCCCATGTTAGAACTTGAGCTTAGAACCGATGCATTAGTAGTGAGCTTGAAGCTCTTTAAGTACATCCAGGATGGGCAAGCAATGGATGGGGAAATGAATCGGGGGCAATCTCTAGGGATTGGGGGTAATCCCAAGGCAATCTCCAATTGGTGGGTTGGAGATTGCTTGGAGATCACATTTGGGTTTGGTTGGAATGTAGGTGTATACCCAACCAAGCTCAAAGTGCAAACTACACTACGCTAGGATATAGAAAGTACAAAATACAAAGTGTTAGATTGAGGGCTAACACTAACACCCCACCCTTCCCCTCCAAACCTTTCCTTCTGCTTCATCTTCCTTCACTTTGGGTTTTGTTTTGCTATGTTTTTTTTTGCCCACTTGTATTGTTGATCATTTCTTGTACTTGCATACGTGATTCTTTTTTGAACCTGCATCTTTTCATCGAGAAGAATGTTGGCAGGCTTGATGTCGCGGCGCACATTGTGGAGGCTGTGGAGGTACTGCAGGCCCTGTCCTGAGCCACCCACCTCAATCTTCACTCTCATCGTTCACCCCCGAGCTCCTACCTGCATCTTCTTGTCTAGCGAAATGTTGGCGGGCTTGATGTCGCGACGCACGATGTGGAAGCTGTGGAGGTACTGAATCTATCTACTCACATGCTTGATGTTCTTTTTCACCTGCATTTTCTTGTCGAGAAGAATGTTGGCAGGCTTGATGTCGCGGTGCACAATGTGGAAGCTGTGGAGGTACTGCAAGCCCTGAGCCACCCCGATGTGCTACCCTCATCGTTCAACCCCATGTCTTGCCTGCATCTTCTTGTCGAGTAGGATGTTGGCGGGCTTAATATCTCGGTGAACAATGTTGAAGCTGTGGAGGTACTGCAGGCCCTGAGCCACCCCAATGAGTACATCCAAGCGCTGCCGCAGAGTCAAGGGTGTAGGCACACCTGGTGGTTGTGGTGGTAGCAAGAAGATAACCTAAGGTTCTATGAATGTATGTTAATGTTGGAACACAAGAAAGAAAGAAAGAACGAATGAATGAATGAATGAATGAATGAATGAATGAATGAATGAATGAATGAATGAATGAATGAATGAATGAATGAATGAATGAATGAATGAATGAATGAATGAATGAATGAATGAATGAATGAATGAATGAATGAATGAATGAATGAATGAATGAATGAATGAATGAATGAATGAATGAATGAATGAATGAATGAATGAATGAATGAATGAATCTATGACTGAATGAATGAGCGAACGAACGAACGAATGAACGGCCAACACCCACCTGGTCCGATCCACTTCTCCAAGTCCCCATTCTCCATGAACTCGTAGATGACAATTCGCTCTGTGCACCCAGCCATGGCATAACATCTCTCTAAAGGCCAAGCAGCCCTCAGCCACAGGCAGGGCAACACTAACCTGGTCCGATCCACTGCTCCAAATCCCCATTCTCCATGAACTTGTAGATGACGATTTGCTCCGTGCGCTCCGCTGCAACACCTACATCAATGCAATAGCCCAAAATAGGCTTAGAGGGTAGCACAGTACCCACCCACCTGGACCGATCCAGTGCTCGAGGTCCCCATTCTCCATGAACTCATAGATGACAATCTGCTCCGTGCGCTCTGCTGCTACATCTACGTCAATGCAGTAGCCCAGAAGCCGCACAAGGTTGGGGTGGTGCTTCGTGGCCATCTCGTTCACCTGGGAGAGGGGGGGGGGGGGGGGGGGGGGGGGGGGGGGGGGGGGGAAGGGGGGGAAAAGGAAGTGATAAAGAAGGGCGAGATGTTACTTAATGGAGATAAAAGTACGGAAGAGAACATATATACATGTAAATATGCTATACATATACGCATATGTAAATATAAATGTATACAATAATATAAATATACAAACATATATAGGCCACATGAGGCCACGAAGCACCACGAAGTGGTATGCAGGGGTGTAAAAGAGTTGTAGGTGCCAGAAGTGTCATGCTGCGACACACACTTGAACACGTCCCCAAAGCTGCCTCTGCCAATCCATTGATAACATGCACCTTGCATCGCTCCGCACCACACCACACACCACACCACACCACACCACACCACACCACGCCACACCACACTAAATCACACCGCGCCACGCCACGCACCTCTCTTCGGAAGTCATTAGTGAGCACCCGCGCTCGCTTCACAGCCCACACCACCGACGGGTCGTAAGGCGACACTCCCTTGAACACGTCCCCAAAGCTGCCACTGCCAATCTTGTTTGCCTCCGCCCATTCACCAGTGGCCCGCGCCACGTCAGCAAGGGAGTACTGCTGACACATCAGCGGCCCGTGCATCATCCGACCGCTCATCCCGTCGCTGCGTCCTGAAGGCACGGCAGCCGCTGCGGCTGCTGCAGCGGCCGCTTCAGCTGGTGTTACTGGGGGTAGTGGGAATGGAAAGAGGAAAATTGAGTGGGTAAGGGACTGAAACAGCTCGTCGCTGCCTCCTGATGGCACAGCTGCCGCTGCAGCGGCCGCTTCTGCTGCAGATACTGGGTATGGAGGGTCAGAATGGCTTTGAAGTGGTGATAATGGGTAAAGAGGAGTGTCATTAGACTGCTCATCCCATTGCTGCCTCCTGAAGACACGGACGGCTGCCGCAGCTGCCGCTGGGACAATGAGCGGCTGCTTCGGCTGCTGACACTGGAAGCGGTGGGAATGGGTTTACTTTTGAGGCGCCTCAGAAGCTGCCGCAGCTGCCGCTGGGACAATGAGCGGCTGCTTCGGCTGCTGACACTGGGAGCGGTGGGAATGGGTCAAGAGTGGAAGTGAAGAGGGGAGTGACTGACTGAACAGATTAGGGGTTGGCTGGGTAACGAATTGCAGCACACCCGTGTGTCAAGAGTGGTGAACAGTGGGGTTGCTGACACTGGGAGCGGTGGGAATGGGTCAAGAGTGGAAGTGAAGAGGGGAGTGACTGAACAGATTAAGGGCTGGCTGGGTGAACAGTGGGGTTGCTGACACTGGGAGCGGTGGGAATGGGTCAAGAGTGGAAGTGAAGAGGGGAGTGAGTGACCGACTGAACAGATTAAGGGCTGGCTGGGTGAACAGTGGGGAATTGCAGCAGCCCGTGTGTCAAATCATCACACCACTCATCCGGTCGCTGCCACCTACAGTAATTAATATCTCTATTCACAATGCTTCTCCTAAACCTTAAACGTCCTGCTTTGAGGCGCCTCAAAACCACACACTGACTCTCCTAACCCTATTTCTGACTCACCACTTCTTTGAGTTTTTTCCCCAACTACTCACCAGCTCCCAGTGCTGGCGCCTGTGACCCGCCTCCTGCTCCCCCTGCTCCCCCTGCTCCTCCTACTCCTCCTGCTCCCCCTGCTCCTGCTGCTCCGTCCTTGCTCCTCTTCTGATACAAGCACACCACTAGAAGCACACCCACCACTCCCAGAATCACAACCCCAGCTCCCACTGCTATCCCCACCACCACCCCCATTGACACCCCTCCCCCCTCCCCTGACGCCGGGGGCGGGGGAGATTGGGGGGGAGGAGGGGGAGATCCGCTCCCCCCTTGGGGGAGAGGGGGAGAAAATCCCCCACTTCCAGAGGGAGGGGGGGCGGTGGAAGGGGAAGGGGGGGCTGCATCAGTGGTGGGGGCATTGCCACTGGGGGGAGGGGCGGTGCTGGGGGGAGGAGCGGGGCTGATGGCAAGGGGAGGAGGAGGGGAAGGAAGAGAAGGGGGAGGAGAAGAGGGGGGAGGGGAGAGTTTAGGAGTTGGGGGAGGGGAGAGTTTAGGAGTTGGGGGAGGGGAGAGTTTAGGAGTTGGGGGAGGGGAGAGTTTAGGAGTTGGGGGAGGGGAGAGTTTAGGAGTTGGGGGAGGGGAGAGTTTGGGCTTGGGGGAAGGGGGAGGAGAGGGAGGTTCGGCAGGAGGGGCAGCGGGAGGGGGAGCGGGAGGAGGAGGGGAGGGAGGAGGAGGGGAGGGAGGAGGAGGGGGAGGATACACGGGAGGTTCGGCAGGGGGAGGGGCAGGAGGAGGGGCGGATGGAGGGGGAGGGGAGGGGAGCGGTGGAGGGGGAGAATCGACTACAGGCGGTGGGACAGGAGGTTCCACTGGCGGGGGTGCTGGTGGGGAGAGTAGGGGGAAACAAAACACATTCGCACACTTGCACATGGATGTGCTCACATGCACGCACGCACGCACGCACGCACACACACACACACACACACACACACACACACACACACACACACACACACACACACACACACACACACAAAACCAAGTCGTTATCAACAAGAAATCACGCGAAATTAATGTGGAAAAGAGCTACAGCCCAACTGCCGACCTGCTACTGGTGGTACCTGCAGAGGAGCTGGAGATGCAGAAGCCGGATCAGTCGGAGCAGAGGACAGTTGTGTTGATGGGCGTGACTTTGCATGAGCCCAATGGGCAAAACAAGTACCTGTTTACATACCTGCTCGTGTGATTGCTACCCTTCTTACCTGCTACAGTCGGTACCTGCAGAGGAGCAGGAGATGCAGAAGCCGGAGCAGTCGGAGCAGAGGACGGTTGTGTTGATGGGCGTGACGCTGCATGAGCCCCGTGGCGGGCATGACCACAGGTTCAAGTCGTAGTCACTGTTTAGATAACAGGGTGGGAGAGCAGGGGTGGGTTGCAGGGCAGGGGTGCGTGGTTTGATTTGATGGGCGTGACTGTGCATGAGCAGCGTGCCGGTCGTTTTTGGTGGTTTTTGAGGCGCCTCAAAAGCGTGACAGTCGTTTTTGTGTGTGGTTGCATGGGTGGTTTTTGAGGCGCCTCAAAAGCGTGACTGTGCATGAGTTGCATGCTGGGCTGTTTGACAACAGGTTCAAGTCGTAGTCACTGTGTAAGAATGGGAGCGCAGGGATGGATGGCACGGGTTTTTAGGTGTGTGGTTGCATGGGTGCATGGGTGCATGGGTGCATGCGCACATGAAAGCAGGGGCACTCACAAGGTCGCGAGGCTTTCCATGGTGGCCATGGACTGCGGCAGGTATCCCTGCATTTCGTTTTGCGAGATGTTCCTGCTCGTACAATGAACAAGGGGGTGGGGAGGGGAGTGTAGGGATGGGGAGGGGAGGGGTGGGGAGGGGAGTGCAGGGGTGGGGAGGGGAGGGGAGGGGTGGGGAGGGGAGGGGATTGGAGGGGTGGGAAAGAGGAGAGTGAGGGATGAATGGGCGGCACATGACACAGTATCACTGCTTATCGCTGTGCGAGATGTTCCCAGGCGCGCACACACTTGATTGAAACACCACATGTGGGTGAGCTTTCTGCAGGTTATCACTGTAGGGTGAAAAGTCTCCGAAAAAATATTAGTATTAGAACTACTAGTATTATTCATATTATATACATTATCAATAGAATAAATATTATTAATATTTATATTATTAGAATTAAAATCCACAAAAAATAGTTTTAGTAATATTATTAAAATCGTTATTAATCCTAATGCTATTATTGTTATTGCTGTTGTTGTTATTATTGTTATTATATTTATTTCTTACGCTATGATGATGATTATTATTATCATCATCATCATCATCATCATCATCATCATCATCATCATCATCATCATCATCATCATCATCATCATCATCATCATCATCATCATCATCATCATCATCATCATCATCATCATCATCATCATCATCATCATCATCATCATCATCATCATCATCATCATCATCATCATCATCATTATTGTTATTGTTATTATTATAATTACTGTTATTATTAAGAGCAAATCACTTACAGGTAAGTGAGCTGCTGTAGGTTCCCAATGTCGGCTGGCAACTCCCCTGTGATCCGGTTGTTGCCGAAATCTCTGGACGGGCACGAGACAAACGGAGAGGAATGATTTTCGGGAAGAGTTCCCAATGAAGAAGAGAGGAGGGAAACGAGGAGAGTGAGAAATGGTCCGATGGGATTGTTCAGGTGAAGAGGAGGGATAGTAGCTTCGCTATGAGGAGAGGAGGGGCAAGAGGAGTGGAGAGGAGAGTAGACTTGAAAAGAGCTCACTGTAGGTATTTCACTAGCTTTAGATCTTGCATGCTATTTGTTTGATAAGTCGCACGGGCATGACGGCATGGAGCTGCAGCAATGCTTTTGATTTTGAGCTGCGACAAGTCTCCCAACACTGACGCAAGCATTGCTGCAGCAGCTGTCCCACTCTCCATGTACTCACACACGTTTACCGCCCCACAAGCCTTCAGCCATTAGACTGGGCGAGCTGCAGCTTAGGTAAAAGAATTTACCTAAGCTGCAGCTCGCCTAGTCTAATGGCTGTTGCAGCAGCTGTCCCACTCTCCGTGCTTCACCTCTGTACTCTCCATGCGTCACCTCTGTACTCTCCATGCTTCACCTCTGTACTCTCCATGCTTCACCTCTGTACTCTCCGTGCTTCACCTCTGTACTCTCCGTGCTTCACCTCTGTACTCTCCATGCTTCACCTCTGTACTCTCCGTGCTTCACCTCTGTACTCTCCATGCGTCACCTCTGTACTCTCCGTGCTTCACCTCTGTACTCTCCATGCGTCACCTCTGTACTCTCCGTGCTTCACCTCTGTACTCTCCGTGCTTCACCTCTGTACTCTCCGTGCTTCACCTCTGTACTCTCCATGCTTCACCTCTGTACTCTCCATGCTTCACCTCTGTACTCTCCGTGCTTCACCTCTGTACTCTCCATGCTTCACCTCTGTACTCTCCGTGCTTCACCTCTGTACTCTCCATGCTTCACCTCTGTACTCTCCGTGCTTCACCTCTGTACTCTCCATGCGTCACCTCTGTACTCTCCGTGCTTCACCTCTGTACTCTCCATGCGTCACCTCTGTACTCTCCGTGCTTCACCTCTGTACTCTCCGTGCTTCACCTCTGTACTCTCCATGCTTCACCTCTGTACTCTCCATGCGTCACCTCTGTACTCTCCGTGCTTCACCTCTGTACTCTCCGTGCTTCACCTCTGTACTCTGTCGCGCTGTTAACACTTAGCTGGCAACTAAGTGTGAATACCACAGCAGCCAAGGTGAGGGTGTACTATAGCTTACTGATTTTGTACTTTAATTTCATTTGTGTGCTTGGAGTGTATTGTACTGTACTGCAAAGCCGAGTAGCTGGGGAATTCGAGGTGGTTAGTGGGAGGCGAATTCAAGGAGGTTGGTGGAGGCGAATTCAATTCCAGCCTGTGAATTCAATTTCGAAGTCACAAGGCTGGCAGGCGAATTCAATGCCAGCCTGGGAATTCAATTCGAAGTCACCAGGCTGGAAGGCGGTGCATGCCTAGTGGGCCCAGTGGGAACCCAGCTAGCACCTTGGAGACCTCGCGAGCAGCCCGGCTGACTCGCTTGGTGCACAGGAGCTTGCTTGTGGAGGAAGCAACCTAGGCACGGGGTGGGAATAGATGTAGGCAGGAGTAGCACTCGGGCTTCTTGCTTTTTGCTTGTATGTTTCTCGTTTACTGCAATTTGCTTTCCTAATCCGAAGGGAACTAGCAGTAGGAGAAGCTAACAGCAATCTGACTGAGCCCTTGCGAGGGAGTTTAAGACTTGTTGCATACAAGACTCACACACGTTTACCGCCCCACAAGCCAAGCAAGACTGAAGCACACTCACACGAGCGTGAGCGCTGTTAAGAGGGTGATTGTTGAGTTGATTTTTTAGGCGCCTCAAAAATGAACGCCGTCAAGAGGGTGATTGTTGAGTTGCTTTTGAGGCGCCCCAAAAGCCAGCAAGACTGAAGCACACTCACACGTGCGTGAGCTCGGTCAAGAGGGTGATTGAGTCACTTTTGAGGCGCTCCAAAAGCCAGCAAGGCTGATTCTATTCTTTAGGCGCCTCAAAAGTAGACCCCAAGAGTCAGCAAGGCTGAAGGCCACTCACTCACACGTGCGTGAGCTCGGTCAAGAGGGTGATTGCATTCGGGATGTCGAATTCCAGAATGTTGTTCTGTAAGTAGCTGGTGGTGGGGGGGAGGGGGGGAGAGGGGGAGAAAGCGAGGGGGACACTTTGACTTTTGAGTCGACTCAAAATGTTGTTGTGTAAGTAGCTGGTGAGGGGGGGGAGAGAGGGGGAGAAAGCGAGGGAGACACTTTGAGATGACTCAAGAAGCTGCGATTTGAGTCAAGAGGGTGATTGCATCCGGGATGTCTAATTCCAGAATGTTGTTCTGTAAGTAGCTGGTGGGGGAGGGGAAGGGAAGGGAAGGGGGGAAGGAGAAAAAGAGGGTGCTTTGGATTGACTCAGAATACGATTGAATCCAGGATGTGGAATTTCACGATGCTGATCTGATCTGATCTGCAGGCAGCTGGTGTGGTGTGGGAGGGAGAGGGGGAGGAGAAGGGCGGGCGGGGGTAGTTTGAGTTGAGTAGACTTCAAAGGCATATTGGAGTCTTCAGAGTCGATGAAGGAAAAGACGGGGAATGAAGGGGAATGAAGGGGAATGAAGGGGAAGGTAATGAAGTATAGATAAAGCATAGACAGAGCTCGCTATCGTGGGTCAGACTGTCGGAGATCTACTCTATCATGTGGTTGTTGTTTGTAGCACCAACCAATCCCATAATGCTTTCGACGCTTTAAGCTTAAGCTACGCAAATGGGTATCTCTAAGACGGAAAAGAAAGGAAAAAAAAAAAAAAAAAAAAAAAAAAAAAAAAACGGGACCAGACTAGACTGCGTTGTGCTCACATTGCTTTCATGGCTGTCGAGGCGATCCCGGTGGTTTGCTGTACGGGTGATGCTGTGGAGGAGAACGGCAGCGGCCCTGATAGCTTGTTGTCAGACGACCCCCTGTTGTTGGAAGGCTCATTGGATGGATGAATGCAATGCAAGCAACCCCTTATCCCCGTTATAAGGAGACTCGAGCGGTGCTGCCGGTTCGACCCAGCACACCACGTGACAGCTGTTCTCTGCAGTAATCACTCAGCAGCCATGAAAAGTTGGGAGAAGTGGTGACAAGTGGTGAGAAGTGGTTCAAAGTGGTTGGAAGTGGTGACAGTGGGTGTTGAAGCGCTGCAAAGTGTCTGAAACAGGCAAAGACCCCACAACGTTTGGAGCTAAGGTGCCAGAAATCACTCAGAAATGCGTAAGCACCCGAGATCAATGCTCATTGAAGGGTTGATTGAAATTACCATATTTCTAGGCTTGGAGGGACGCTGATCATGGTGACTTTTGAGTCGACTCAAAAGTCACCTCAATGCTCACTGAAGGGTTGGTTGAAATCACCATATTTTTAGGTTTGGAAGGACGCTGATCATGGGAAGCTCCCCTGTGAGCTGGTTGGAGAAGAGAGCACTGTGAGAGAGGCACAATGGGCAGAGCACAGGGACAGAGCACAGCACAACAGACACACACAACAGACACACACAACAGACACACACAACAGACACACACAACAGACACACACAACAGACACACAAAACGGACACACAAAACAGACACACAAAAAAGACACACACAACAGACACACACAACAGACACACACAACAGACACACACAACAGACACACACAACAGACACACACAACAGACACACACAACAGACACACACAACAGACACACACAACAGACACACACAAGACACACAAAACGGACACACACAACAGACACACACAACAGACACACACAACAGACACACACAACAGACACACACAACAGACACACACAACAGACACACACAACAGACACACACAACAGACACACACAACAGACACACACAACAGACACACAAAACGGATACACAACAGACACACACAACAGACACACACAACAGACACACAATACGGACACACACAACAGACACACACAACAGACACACACAACAGACACACACAACAGACACACACAACAGACACACACAACAGACACACACAACAGACACACAAAACGGACACACACAACAGACACACACAACAGACACACACAACAGACACACACAACAGACACACACAACAGACACACACAACAGACACACACAACAGACACACACAACAGACACACACAACAGACACACAAAACGGACACACACAACAGACACACACAACAGACACACACAACAGACACACAAAACGGACACACACAACAGACACACACAACAGACACACACAACAGACACACACAACAGACACACACAACAGACACACACAACAGACACACACAACAGACACACACAACAGACACACACAACAGACACACACACGGGATGCTTAGATCATATTACCATAAATCTTGGAACCCTTAGATTTCTTGAGAAATCTAAGAATTCCATGTTGAAGCACCCATGCTCCAACAAGGGAGCTTTGACGCGCAAGTGGCTTGTCTTGTTTGAATGGTTTGACTGGTTTGACCTGGTTTGACTCACACGTCTCTCAGGGCAACCATGTCGCTCATGGTCGCGGGCAAGCTGCCTGTGAGGCTGTTCCAGTCGTTTGACTGGTTTGACTGGTTTGTTGTGTGACCTGCTTGGGCTGTTTGACCTGTTTGACTCACACATCTCTCAGGGCAACCATGTCGCTCATGGTCGCTGGTAAGCTGCCCGTGAGGCTGTTGCAACACATGGAGCTGATGCGCAAGGAGAAGCAGAGAGGAGGGGAAGAATAGGGAAGGAGGGAGAGAGAGCTCAGTGAGGCTGGTAAAGACAGACATACAGTGAAGGGAAAAGGGGAAAGAGAAGGGGGAAGTGAGAGAGGCTGTTGCGGAAAATGGGGCTGATGGGGGGTCGGGAATAGGGGGCGTGAGAAGCAGAGGGATGGGTTCCACACCACATGCAACCCATTTCTAGCAATCGCAAACTGCACAAAGCACTCACAACCAGGTGAGGGCAGTGAGCTGGCCGATGGTGGATGGGAAGGATATCACGGATGGATGGGTGGATGGATGGGAGGATCCACGACGCTAAATTAGTTAAACGCATCACAGCCCTCGCCATTAGCACTCACAACCAGGTGAGGGCAGTGAGCCGGCCGATGGTGGATGGGATAGGGCCTGTGATGCCGTTTGAATCCAAGTCACTGGGTACGGGAAGGGGAGAAGCTTGGGAGAAAAGGAACACAAGTTGGGAGGAAAAAGTATAGACCACGATGGAGAAAGGGGGGATGGGGATGGGGGGGAAACGGGTACGGTATGGAGAGATGGGGGCAAAGAAGATGGGAGAGAATGAGAATGGCTTCCATATAAACACATTCCGTCGCCAGTGGCATATCACCAGCATTCCCATACGACAGTTATCAGCAGCAGCAGCAGCAGCAGCAACAGCAGCAGCAGCAGCAGCAACAGCAGCAGCAGCAGCAGCAGCAGCAGCAGCAGCAGCCATCTAAAAAGAGCCAACTGACTCACAGGTGAGAGAGATCCACTAGGTCACCGAATGGGCTTTAAGTGCAGCATGCAGCAAGCAGCAGTCACTCACAGGTATGAAAGTTCCACCAGGTCACCGATGGTAGGGGGGAGCGGCCCTCCCAGATTCTGACCTGTCACCTCTCTGCCGCAGCACAGGGGCAAGGGCAGTGTGAGAGTCACTTTGAGAATTCTCAAAAGTGATTCCCAAGCAGCACAGGGGCAAGGGCAGTGTGGGAGGATGAGGCAGGCGGGGGGCAAGGGCTCTTTTTTTGAGGCGCCTCAAAAGGGCAAGGACTGTGCTGTTTAGAATCCTGAGATGAGTAGCAGCATGCTGGAACGTTTGTGAAGGAGGAGAGAGGTTGGGGGGGGGGAAGAAGGGGGGGGGTGGGGTGGGTGGGGTGGGGGTGGGTGGGTGGGTGGGAGAGTGGTGGGTAGGTCAGTGTGTGGGGGGGGGTGGGGGATCTGTTTGTGCGGTGTGCGTGCATGCGTGCATGTGGGCATGTGGGCATGTGAGCATGTGGGCATGTGGGCATGCATGCGTGCATGTGGGCATGTGGGCATGTGGGCATGTGGGCATGTGGGCATGTGGGCATGTGGGCATGTGGGCATGTGGGCATGTGGGCATGTGGGCATGTGGGCATGTGGGCATGTGGGCATGTGGGCATGTGGGCATGTGGGCATGTGGGCATGTGGGCATGTGGGCATGTGGGCATGTGGGCATGTGTGCATGTGTGCATGCATGCGTGCATGTGGGCATGTGGGCATGTGGGCATGTGGGCATGTGGGCATGTGGGCATGTGGGCATGTGGGCATGTGGGCATGTGGGCATGTGTGCGGGTGTATGTGTGCGTCTGAGTGTATGCCCGCATGCGCGTGTGCAGACATGTGCATATGAGGATGTGGGCAAGAATATGTCTGCGTGGGTGTGTTGAGTGTGCACGTGTATCTATCCACGTCACCATCACGTACATCCACGTCACCATCACGTACATCCACGTCACCATGCCCTTTGAGTTGCACGATATGCCGTATGCTTTGCTGCAGTCGCCGCCAGTGTCCCATTGGTCATAAGTCACCCCCCATGAATTCTGCATGTCCCACAGTGCTTGCACTGACGTCAGCATGACGTGGACGCGCCAAGTGGATGACGTGGCATGGTGTGAAGGGCGCAGGGTGGAGGGGGGGGGGGTGGGGTTCGTGCTTATCGGAATGCGGGCAAACGCGGGTGCACGCCAACATCATGCTGCCACGTGTCCACGCCATGCCACGTGTCCACATCATGCCACGTGTCCTCGCCATGCCACGTGTCCACTCATGTCATGTGCGAATAAAATCAATGCCACTGAAATTAGCAGGAAGGACGCCTTTTTGTCCCCGTTCCACTCACATTGGCTGCTGTCAATCGTTTGCCCCAGCACGTGCGTCATCAGCGGAGCGGAAAACACGCTCCATGACGTCAGCACGGCCAGAAGCAGTATCGCGGACATGCCGCGACTCGTCCTCATCTCCGGGCGGCCGGTTGTAGCGTGAATGCCGCGTGGCGGCTCGACTCGTAGAGCGGCGCGTGGGCGTTGTAGCGCGAATGGGCGGGTTGTAGTGCGGATGGCGGGTTGTAGCGCGGATGGGCGGGTTGTAGCGCGGATGCCGCGTGGCTGCTCGAGTAGGGCGGCGCGGGGGCGTTGTAGAGAATGGCGGGTTGCAGCGCGGGAGACGTGTTGTAGCGACTCGCTAGAATGGGCGGTCTGTGACGCAAAATGGGCGGGATGTAACGCGAATGGCGAGTGGCGAGCTGTTGCGCGAGTGGCGCCGCGGCGCGTGGGAGGATGATGTAGCGCGAGTTGCGGGTTGTGGAGCGACCCCGCGACTAGGCGGGATGGCAGCGTGGAAGATGGCGGATGTAGCGTGTTATGCGGCGGCGGGTTGTTTTGCCTGGGTTGCGGAGGATGCAGCGCGAGACGCGGCGGGATGTATGGCGGAGGGCGGCTGTTGCCTGCTACAAATGCCGCTGTAATTTCTTGCGAAGGCTGCGGCGAATAGTAGCACGCGGCGAAGGACAGACCCCACGGGAAATACTGGAATTGAACGAGCGGTGCCGACTGCTATTGATAGAATCCATCCGAGGAAAAGCCGCCGCGGAGCAAACTCAACAGCTGTGGCCTTCCCGTGCTGGTGTTGGTGTGTTCTGCTGTTCCGCTGGTGGGTGGGTCTGCGGCGAGGGGAAGGGAAGAGCAAGATCGGGGGAAGCGGAAACGGGTGAAGGGGCGGGGAGTTGGGAACAAGGAGAATGGGGAAGGAAGGTTAGCGGAGCGAGAGGCGGGTGGTTGGCGGGGTCGCGGCGGGGGGAGAAAAGAACGCGGGAGAATTAGCGGGGAACGAAGCAGAGGCTCGGCGAACCACCGCGTGCCAGCTCTCCACCCAAGCGTGGAAAACTCCGAGCTTTGTGGGGAAAAATCATGCGGTGACCAATCCGCATGTCAGCCACGGTAGCGGCACGTGTTACAGCCAGCAAGGCTTATCGTCACGACTTCGTTGACTGGCCGGAAGCGGGCCCGTCTGCGAGCTTGTAACGGATCTAACTGACTATATTTGTCGATAACTTCCAGCATTAAAAAAAACTCCAGCAATATAATATAATATGTGTTTAGAAGCAGATGGCCAACCCAGATGTGCAAGGCCTGCCCTTAGACTTCGTTCCATCTGGGCCTTGCACAACTTCAGACAACGCGAGGGTTCACACATCAATAAAAGCTACCAGAGGATCCATTTTCTCCGATGAAACCGCCCTTATATCAAACTCTTATGCTCCCCCATTTTCACCTGCTTGTCGAAACTATCAGGAGAAGCTCAAGCTCTCAAGAGGGCTCAGGTCAAACCTGCTCTAAATGTAACATTGTACACCACACACCGCACTCATTCACGACTATCAGAGGAACCCATTTCCCCAATTGATACCATCCCAATGCTCAAACCCGACACCTCTTCACGCTCCGAGGCCGCCTCGTATGCTCGCCGAATCTCCTGCGATAAGCTCGACGCATTACGGTCCGACAATTCACTGTCAATATTCACCAGTACAGGGTCCACATCAGCGCCAAGAAACTCCTCCTTCATGGCGATGAGGTCGGAGAGAATGCGAGCCATGGAGGGCCGGGTGGCGACGGGTGTGGTGGTGCAGGAGAGGGCGAAGCGTGCGAGCTTCAGAATGACATCGCTTGGGGCGTCCAGCCGCGGATCCTTGATGGCAGCTGCATCCCCGGCCTCCAATAATGGTTGCACCTGGAGGAGGGGAAGAGCATGAGTGGAATGATACAAGTAATAACATCGATACAAGCAATAGTGGTGATAATGAAAACAATGATCATGGTAGTAGTTATAACACGATTAGTAATAATGGTAATAACAAGTGTTGTTGTTGTTATTATTATTATTATGATTATGATTATTATTATTATATCAATTATTAACAACGACAGCGACGACGACAACAAGAATGGCAACGGCAACAAACAACTATGCCCTCTCCCAATCAAGTGCCAACTTACCCATTTCTTGAGGTTGATTTGGTTATCGTCCAAGGAGTCCAGAGCCTTGCGGGCTGTGATGACTGTCAGCATCACCACTCCGAAGCTGGAGGGGAGAACGGGGAGGGGCATGGGCACAGTGGCATGAAACTGATTGACATCTCTGACATTCTTTCAAGCAGTCCAGAGCATTGCATGCAGTGATCTGATCACTAGCAGCAACACCATTCCGAAGCTGGAGGGGAGGATGGGGATCGGGCACGGGCACAGTGGCATGGGTTTGACTATCAAATGTGACAGCTTTCCAAGCAGTCCTGAGCCTTGCGGGCAGAGATCTGATCACAGTCAGCATCACCACTCCACCGGCTTGTGCCACTCTGAACCCACGGTCAACCATGTTCTCACCTGTGCACGTCAGCTGCTGGCGTGGCCTTCTGTGATTTGAAGTATGCAGGGTCCACATAGCCCGGTGTTCCCATCACCCGCGTATGGCCCACGGCAGTGCCCTCGCCCATCCTCACCAGCCCAAAGTCAGCTATCTTGGCCTGAGGAAAGAGGGGGAGGAGGAGGAGAGGGGGAGAGAAGGAGAGGGGGAGAAAGGGATGGAGAAGGGGAGTGAGATGCGAAAAAGGGGAGTGAGAGAGGAGGGTGTGGAGAGAGGTGAACGTTGAGTTGATTTGAGAGTCCACATAGCCCGGTGTTCCCATCACCCGCGTATGGCCCACGGCAATGCCCTCGCCCATCCTCACCAGCCCAAAGTCAGCTATCTTGGCCTGAGGTAAGGGGAGATGAGAGACAAGGGAAGGGAGCGGGAGACAGACTCGTAACGAGGAAGCAGAAGGAACTGCAAATATCAAATATGTATATTTATATGTATATAAAGTCATATTTTAAAAATTACAGATTTCTTCAATATTTCACCTGCATCTTCTTGTCGAGCAGGATGTTAGCGGGCTTGATGTCGCGATGAACAATGTTGAAGCTGTGGAGGTACTGCAGGCCCTGAGCCACTCCAATGAGCACGTCAAAGCGCTGCCGCAGGGTCAGTGGTTTCTCAACACCTGGTCCGATCCACCTCTCGAGGTCTCCGTTGTCCATGAACTCGTAGATAAGGATCTGCTCTGTGCTGTCAGCTGCCTTGTCCACCTCGATGCAGTAGCCCAACAGCCGCACGAGGTTGGGGTGGTGCTTCGATGCCATCTCGTTGATCTGGTTGGGGGGGGGGGGGGGGAGGGGAGAGAAGGGTTTGGGGGAGGGCGAGGTGTGGGGGGTGGGGGGAAAAAAGGAGAGTGCATGGCACACCACACCACACACCATTGCATCACACCCACACATCACAACGCAACGCACCTCCCGGCGGAAGTCGCTGGTAATCACGGTGGCTCGCTTCACAGCCCACACCACCGATGGGTCGTGCGGCGACACACCCTTGTACACGTCTCCGAACCCGCCGCTGCCAATGCGGTTGGCCTCCGCCCAGTTGTTGGTCGCCCGCAGCACGTCCGCCAAGGGGTAGCGCTGGCACTGCTGGTTGCCTGATATGCCCGCCGCCGCTGCTGCTAGGGTGGGAGCAAAAAAATGGTGTGAGGGAGAGGAGGGGATAGGGTCAAGTGCAGCAGTAATCGTTCAGAGCAGCTACTTCACTTTGACGTGTTTTGAGATGTTCCCTCCCATCCCCCTCTGCCACTTCTTCCTCCCTGGCCCACCCTACTCCCTGGCCCACCCTACTCCCTGGCCCACCCTCCTCTCTACCCCACCCTCCTCTCTACCCCACCCTCCTCTCTACCCCACCCTCCTCTCTACCCCACCCTCCTCTCTGCCCCACCTTGATTTGCTGCTGCTCTAACCTTGCTTCTCCTCGGATACTAGCACACCGCTAGCAGAACCACTGCCAGCAACAGCACCACTGCGCCCACTACCAACCCCACCACCCTCCCTGTCTCACCCTCCTCTCTGCCTCACCTTCATTTGCTGCTGCTCTCGCCTTGCGCTTCCTCTGATACAAGCACGCCGCTACAAGCACCACTCCCAGCAGCAGCAACACAGCCCCCACTACCACCCCCACCACCACCCCTGTCGATACCCCCCCTCCCCCCTCAGAGGGTGAAGGGGCAGGCAGCGAGGGAAAGGAAGATGGGGGGGGCGGAGGGCTAACTGGGGGTGGAGAGGAGGGTGGCGCTGGTGGGGGGAAAGGTGGGGGGAACGGTGAGGGAAAGAGGTGGGGGAAGAGATGGGGGAGGAGCAGAGAAAAAGGAAAAAGGATGTTGATGGGAAAGGGGGCGAGGGGGAGGAAGGAGGGTACAGCAGAGGTAGCCTCTTGTAAAGGAAGGAGGGTGGGGTGGAGTGCTGGTTGGCGTGAGATGAGTCGATTTTTGAGTCGACTCAAAAATCGACTCATCTCACGCGGAAGGAGGGTGGGGTGGAGGGATGGTTGGAGCTGGAGCGGAGGCTGGGACTGGTTGAGGGGGGGGGGGGAACAGAGGTGAGGGGAAGCAGAGGTGGAGGGGAGGTGGGGGGAAGTAGAGATGGGGGGAAGCAGAGGTGGGGGAAGCAGAGGTGGGGGGAAGCAGAGGTGGGGGGAAGCAGAGGTGGGGGGAAGCAGAGGTGAGGGGAAACGGAGGTGGGAGGAAACGGAGGTGGGAGGAGAGGTGGGGGGAGAGGTGGGGGGAGAGGTGGGGGGAGAGGTAAGGGAAGAGGTGGGGGGAGAGGTGGGGGGAGAGGTGGGGGGAGAGGTGCGGGGAGAGGTGGGGGTAAAGGTTGGGGGAGAAAAGGGGGAAGCAGAGGTGGGGGGTAACGGAAGTGGGGGAAAAAAGAGGTGTGCGGAAGGGGCAAACAGAGGTGGGGAATGAGTGGTGTGGGGGAGGGGATCGGGGGCAGAGGGAAGAGGCAGGCAGAGATGGCACATGCATGTGCACGTGCATGTTATTCCTCCACTCCAGCTTTTCTCTTTAGACACAGTTCGGCAGAGAAAAGCACACGCATGTGTAAACACAGTTCGGCAGAGAAAAGCACACGCATGTGTAGACACAGTTCGGCAGAGAAAAGCACATGCATGTGTAGACACAGTTCGGCAGAGAAAAGCACACGCATGTGTAGACACAGTTCGGCAGAGAAAAGCACATGCATGTGTAGACACAGTTCGGCAGAGAAATGGACATGCATGTGTAGACACAGTTCGGCAGAGAAAAGCACATGCATGTGTAGACACAGTTCGGCAGAGAAAAGCACATGCATGTGTAGACACAGTTCGACAGAGAAATGCACACGCATGTGTAGACACAGTTCGGCAGAGAAAAGCTGGAGTGGAGGAATAATGCCGCCAGGTAGGAAGCAGGTAGGAATAATGCCACTAACATGCACGTGCATATTACCAGGTAGGAATAGTGCCGCCATTTGCAGTTACGGTGCTGCCATTACCTGGAGAGGTATTGCTACTACCCGGTGTGATGCTGCTATTGCCAGATACAGTGCTATTATTACTGGGTACAGTGCTCCTAATACCTACTACTACAGTGGTGCTATTACCAGGCACAGCGCTCTATCAGCAGGGCTGTGCTGCTATTACCAGGAGTGGCGCTGCAGGAGGAGCACAAGGCGGAGCAGTCGGAGCAGAAGAGGGTGGTGTTGACAGCAACCACAGTGCAGGCGTGGCGTGGTGCTGCCATTACCTGCGACGGTGCTGCTATTACCAGATGTGGTGCTGCCATTACCTGCGACGGTGCTGCTATTACCAGATGTGGTGCTGCCATTACCTGCGACGGTGCTGCTATTACCAGATGTGGTGCTGCCATTACCTGCGACGGTGCTGCTATTACCAGATGTGGTGCTGCCATTACCTGCGACGGTGCTGCTATTACCAGATGTGGTGCTGCCATTACCTGCGACGGTGCTGCTATTACCAGATGTGGTGCTGCCATTACCTGCGACGGTGCTGCTATTACCAGATGTGGTGCTGCCATTACCTGCGACGGTGCTGCTATTACCAGATGTGGTGCTGCCATTACCTGCGACGGTGCTGCTATTACCAGATGTGGTGCTGCCATTACCTGCGACGGTGCTGCTATTACCAGATGTGGTGCTGCCATTACCTGCGACGGTGCTGCTATTACCAGATGTGGTGCTGCCATTACCTGCGACGGTGCTGCTATTACCAGATGTGGTGCTGCCATTACCTGCGACGGTGCTGCTATTACCAGATGTGGTGCTGCCATTACCTGCGACGGTGCTGCTATTACCAGATGTGGTGCTGCCATTACCTGCGACGGTGCTGCTATTACCAGATGTGGTGCTGCCATTACCTGCGACGGTGCTGCTATTACCAGATGTGGTGCTGCCATTACCTGCGACGGTGCTGCTATTACCAGATGTGGTGCTGCCATTACCTGCGACGGTGCTGCTATTACCAGATGTGGTGCTGCCATTACCTGCGACGGTGCTGCTATTACCAGATGTGGTGCTGCCATTACCTGCGACGGTGCTGCTATTACCAGATGTGGTGCTGCCATTACCTGCTACGGTTCTGCTATTACCAGATGTGGTGCTGCCATTACCTGCGACGGTGCTGCTATTACCAGATGTGGTGCTGCCATTACCTGCGACGGTGCTGCTATTACCAGATGTGGTGCTGCCATTACCTGCGACGGTGCTGCTATTACCAGATGTGGTGCTGCCATTACCTGCTACGGTGCTGCTATTACCAGATGTGGTGCTGCCATTACCTGCTACGGTTCTGCTATTACCAGATGTGGTGCTGCCATTACCTGCGACGGTGCTGCTATTACCAGATGTGGTGCTGCCATTACCTGCTACGGTTCTGCTATTACCAGATGTGGTGCTGCCATTACCTGCGACGGTGCTGCTATTACCAGATGTGGTGCTGCCATTACCTGCGACGGTGCTGCTATTACCAGATGTGGTGCTGCCATTACCTGCGACGGTGCTGCTATTACCAGATGTGGTGCTGCCATTACCTGCGACGGTGCTGCTATTACCAGATGTGGTGCTGCCATTACCTGCTACGGTGCTGCTATTACCAGATGTGGTGCTGCCATTACCTGCGACGGTGCTGCTATTACCAGATGTGGTGCTGCCATTACCTGCGACGGTGCTGCTATTACCAGATGTGGTGCTGCCATTACCTGCGACGGTGCTGCTATTACCAGATGTGGTGCTGCCATTACCTGCGACGGTGCTGCTATTACCAGATGTGGTGCTGCCATTACCTGCGACGGTGCTGCTATTACCAGATGTGGTGCTGCCATTACCTGCGACGGTGCTGCTATTACCAGATGTGGTGCTGCCATTACCTGCGACGGTGCTGCTATTACCAGATGTGGTGCTGCCATTACCTGCGACGGTGCTGCTATTACCAGATGTGGTGCTGCCATTACCTGCGACGGTGCTGCTATTACCAGATGTGGTGCTGCCATTACCTGCTACGGTTCTGCTATTACCAGATGTGGTGCTGCCATTACCTGCTACGGTTCTGCTATTACCAGATGTGGTGCTGCCATTACCTGCGACGGTGCTGCTATTACCAGATGTGGTGCTGCCATTACCTGCGACGGTGCTGCTATTACCAGATGTGGTGCTGCCATTACCTGCGACGGTGCTGCTATTACCAGATGTGGTGCTGCCATTACCTGCGACGGTGCTGCTATTACCAGATGTGGTGCTGCCATTACCTGCGACGGTGCTGCTATTACCAGATGTGGTGCTGCCATTACCTGCGACGGTGCTGCTATTACCAGATGTGGTGCTGCCATTACCTGCGACGGTGCTGCTATTACCAGATGTGGTGCTGCCATTACCTGCGACGGTGCTGCTATTACCAGATGTGGTGCTGCCATTACCTGCTACGGTTCTGCTATTACCAGATGTGGTGCTGCCATTACCTGCTACGGTTCTGCTATTACCAGATGTGGTGCTGCCATTACCTGCGACGGTGCTGCTATTACCAGATGTGGTGCTGCCATTACCTGCGACGGTGCTGCTATTACCAGATGTGGTGCTGCCATTACCTGCTACGGTGCTGCTATTACCAGATGTGGTGCTGCCATCACCTGCTACGGTGCTGCTATTACCAGATGTGGTGCTGCCATTACCTGCGACGGTGCTGCTATTACCAGATGTGGTGCTGCCATTACCTGCGACGGTGCTGCTATTACCAGATGTGGTGCTGCCATTACCTGCTACGGTGCTGCTATTACCAGATGTGGTGCTGCCATTACCTGCTACGGTTCTGCTATTACCAGATGTGGTGCTGCCATTACCTGCGACGGTGCTGCTATTACCAGATGTGGTGCTGCCATTACCTGCTACGGTGCTGCTATTACCAGATGTGGTGCTGCCATTACCTGCGACGGTGCTGCTATTACCAGATGTGGTGCTGCCATTACCTGCGACGGTGCTGCTATTACCAGATGTGGTGCTGCCATTACCTGCGACGGTGCTGCTATTACCAGATGTGGTGCTGCCATTACCTGCGACGGTGCTGCTATTACCAGATGTGGTGCTGCCATCACCTGCTACGGTGCTGCTATTACCAGATGTGGTGCTGCCATCACCTGCTACGGTGCTGCTATTACCAGATGTGGTGCTGCCATTACCTGCGACGGTGCTGCTATTACCAGATGTGGTGCTGCCATCACCTGCTACGGTGCTGCTATTACCAGATGTGGTGCTGCCATTACCTGCGACGGTGCTGCTATTACCAGATGTGGTGCTGCCATTACCTGCGACGGTGCTGCTATTACCAGATGTGGTGCTGCCATTACCTGCGACGGTGCTGCTATTACCAGATGTGGTGCTGCCATTACCTGCTACGGTGCTGCTATTACCAGATGTGGTGCTGCCATCACCTGCTACGGTGCTGCTATTACCAGATGTGGTGCTGCCATCACCTGCTACGGTGCTGCTATTACCAGATGTGGTGCTGCCATTACCTGCGACGGTGCTGCTATTACCAGATGTGGTGCTGCCATCACCTGCTACGGTGCTGCTATTACCAGATGTGGTGCTGCCATTACCTGCGACGGTGCTGCTATTACCAGATGTGGTGCTGCCATTACCTGCGACGGTGCTGCTATTACCAGATGTGGTGCTGCCATTACCTGCGACGGTGCTGCTATTACCAGATGTGGTGCTGCCATTACCTGCGACGGTGCTGCTATTACCAGATGTGGTGCTGCCATTACCTGCGACGGTGCTGCTATTACCAGATGTGGTGCTGCCATTACCTGCTACGGTTCTGCTATTACCAGATGTGGTGCTGCCATTACCTGCTACGGTTCTGCTATTACCAGATGTGGTGCTGCCATTACCTGCGACGGTGCTGCTATTACCAGATGTGGTGCTGCCATTACCTGCGACGGTGCTGCTATTACCAGATGTGGTGCTGCCATTACCTGCTACGGTTCTGCTATTACCAGATGTGGTGCTGCCATTACCTGCTACGGTTCTGCTATTACCAGATGTGGTGCTGCCATTACCTGCGACGGTGCTGCTATTACCAGATGTGGTGCTGCCATTACCTGCTACGGTGCTGCTATTACCAGATGTGGTGCTGCCATTACCTGCGACGGTGCTGCTATTACCAGATGTGGTGCTGCCATTACCTGCGACGGTGCTGCTATTACCAGATGTGGTGCTGCCATTACCTGCGACGGTGCTGCTATTACCAGATGTGGTGCTGCCATTACCTGCTACGGTGCTGCTATTACCAGATGTTGTGCTGCCATTACCTGCTACGGTTCTGCTATTACCAGATGTGGTGCTGCCATTACCTGCGACGGTGCTGCTATTACCAGATGTGGTGCTGCCATTACCTGCGACGGTGCTGCTATTACCAGATGTGGTGCTGCCATTACCTGCGACGGTGCTGCTATTACCAGATGTGGTGCTGCCATTACCTGCGACGGTGCTGCTATTACCAGATGTGGTGCTGCCATTACCTGCTACGGTGCTGCTATTACCAGATGTGGTGCTGCCATTACCTGCTACGGTTCTGCTATTACCAGATGTGGTGCTGCCATTACCTGCGACGGTGCTGCTATTACCAGATGTGGTGCTGCCATTACCTGCTACGGTGCTGCTATTACCAGATGTGGTGCTGCCATTACCTGCTACGGTTCTGCTATTACCAGATGTGGTGCTGCCATTACCTGCGACGGTGCTGCTATTACCAGATGTGGTGCTGCCATTACCTGCGACGGTGCTGCTATTACCAGATGTGGTGCTGCCATTACCTGCGACGGTGCTGCTATTACCAGATGTGGTGCTGCCATTACCTGCGACGGTGCTGCTATTACCAGATGTGGTGCTGCCATTACCTGCTACGGTGCTGCTATTACCAGATGTGGTGCTGCCATTACCTGCTACGGTTCTGCTATTACCAGATGTGGTGCTGCCATTACCTGCGACGGTGCTGCTATTACCAGATGTGGTGCTGCCATTACCTGCTACGGTTCTGCTATTACCAGATGTGGTGCTGCCATTACCTGCGACGGTGCTGCTATTACCAGATGTGGTGCTGCCATTACCTGCGACGGTGCTGCTATTACCAGATGTGGTGCTGCCATTACCTGCGACGGTGCTGCTATTACCAGATGTGGTGCTGCCATTACCTGCGACGGTGCTGCTATTACCAGATGTGGTGCTGCCATTACCTGCGACGGTGCTGCTATTACCAGATGTGGTGCTGCCATTACCTGCTACGGTGCTGCTATTACCAGATGTGGTGCTGCCATTACCTGCGACGGTGCTGCTATTACCAGATGTGGTGCTGCCATTACCTGCGACGGTGCTGCTATTACCAGATGTGGTGCTGCCATTACCTGCGACGGTGCTGCTATTACCAGATGTGGTGCTGCCATTACCTGCGACGGTGCTGCTATTACCAGATGTGGTGCTGCCATTACCTGCTACGGTGCTGCTATTACCAGATGTGGTGCTGCCATTACCTGCGACGGTGCTGCTATTACCAGATGTGGTGCTGCCATTACCTGCGACGGTGCTGCTATTACCAGATGTGGTGCTGCCATTACCTGCGACGGTGCTGCTATTACCAGATGTGGTGCTGCCATTACCTGCTACGGTGCTGCTATTACCAGATGTGGTGCTGCCATTACCTGCTACGGTGCTGCTATTACCAGATGTGGTGCTGCCATTACCTGCGACGGTGCTGCTATTACCAGATGTGGTGCTGCCATTACCTGCTACGGTTCTGCTATTACCAGATGTGGTGCTGCCATTACCTGCGACGGTGCTGCTATTACCAGATGTGGTGCTGCCATTACCTGCGACGGTGCTGCTATTACCAGATGTGGTGCTGCCATTACCTGCGACGGTGCTGCTATTACCAGATGTGGTGCTGCCATTACCTGCGACGGTGCTGCTATTACCAGATGTGGTGCTGCCATTACCTGCGACGGTGCTGCTATTACCAGATGTGGTGCTGCCATTACCTGCTACGGTGCTGCTATTACCAGATGTGGTGCTGCCATTACCTGCTACGGTTCTGCTATTACCAGATGTGGTGCTGCCATTACCTGCGACGGTGCTGCTATTACCAGATGTGGTGCTGCCATTACCTGCGACGGTGCTGCTATTACCAGATGTGGTGCTGCCATTACCTGCTACGGTGCTGCTATTACCAGATGTGGTGCTGCCATTACCTGCTACGGTTCTGCTATTACCAGATGTGGTGCTGCCATTACCTGCGACGGTGCTGCTATTACCAGATGTGGTGCTGCCATTACCTGCTACGGTTCTGCTATTACCAGATGTGGTGCTGCCATTACCTGCGACGGTGCTGCTATTACCAGATGTGGTGCTGCCATTACCTGCGACGGTGCTGCTATTACCAGATGTGGTGCTGCCATTACCTGCGACGGTGCTGCTATTACCAGATGTGGTGCTGCCATTACCTGCGACGGTGCTGCTATTACCAGATGTGGTGCTGCCATTACCTGCGACGGTGCTGCTATTACCAGATGTGGTGCTGCCATACCTGCTACGGTGCTGCTATTACCAGATGTGGTGCTGCCATCACCTGCTACGGTGCTGCTATTACCAGATGTGGTGCTGCCATTACCTGCGACGGTGCTGCTATTACCAGATGTGGTGCTGCCATCACCTGCTACGGTGCTGCTATTACCAGATGTGGTGCTGCCATTACCTGCGACGGTGCTGCTATTACCAGATGTGGTGCTGCCATTACCTGCGACGGTGCTGCTATTACCAGATGTGGTGCTGCCATTACCTGCGACGGTGCTGCTATTACCAGATGTGGTGCTGCCATTACCTGCGACGGTGCTGCTATTACCAGATGTGGTGCTGCCATTACCTGCGACGGTGCTGCTATTACCAGATGTGGTGCTGCCATTACCTGCGACGGTGCTGCTATTACCAGATGTGGTGCTGCCATCACCTGCTACGGTGCTGCTATTACCAGATGTGGTGCTGCCATCACCTGCTACGGTGCTGCTATTACCAGATGTGGTGCTGCCATTACCTGCGACGGTGCTGCTATTACCAGATGTGGTGCTGCCATTACCTGCGACGGTGCTGCTATTACCAGATGTGGTGCTGCCATTACCTGCTACGGTGCTGCTATTACCAGATGTGGTGCTGCCATTACCTGCTACGGTGCTGCTATTACCAGATGTGGTGCTGCCATTACCTGCGACGGTGCTGCTATTACCAGATGTGGTGCTGCCATTACCTGCGACGGTGCTGCTATTACCAGATGTGGTGCTGCCATTACCTGCGACGGTGCTGCTATTACCAGATGTGGTGCTGCCATTACCTGCGACGGTGCTGCTATTACCAGATGTGGTGCTGCCATTACCTGCTACGGTGCTGCTATTACCAGATGTGGTGCTGCCATTACCTGCGACGGTGCTGCTATTACCAGATGTGGTGCTGCCATTACCTGCGACGGTGCTGCTATTACCAGATGTGGTGCTGCCATTACCTGCGACGGTGCTGCTATTACCAGATGTGGTGCTGCCATTACCTGCGACGGTGCTGCTATTACCAGATGTGGTGCTGCCATTACCTGCGACGGTGCTGCTATTACCAGATGTGGTGCTGCCATTACCTGCGACGGTGCTGCTATTACCAGATGTGGTGCTGCCATTACCTGCGACGGTGCTGCTATTACCAGATGTGGTGCTGCCATTACCTGCTACGGTGCTGCTATTACCAGATGTGGTGCTGCCATTACCTGCTACGGTGCTGCTATTACCAGATGTGGTGCTGCCATTACCTGCGACGGTGCTGCTATTACCAGATGTGGTGCTGCCATTACCTGCGACGGTGCTGCTATTACCAGATGTGGTGCTGCCATTACCTGCGACGGTGCTGCTATTACCAGATGTGGTGCTGCCATTACCTGCTACGGTGCTGCTATTACCAGATGTGGTGCTGCCATTACCTGCTACGGTGCTGCTATTACCAGATGTGGTGCTGCCATTACCTGCGACGGTGCTGCTATTACCAGATGTGGTGCTGCCATTACCTGCGACGGTGCTGCTATTACCAGATGTGGTGCTGCCATTACCTGCGACGGTGCTGCTATTACCAGATGTGGTGCTGCCATTACCTGCGACGGTGCTGCTATTACCAGATGTGGTGCTGCCATTACCTGCTACGGTGCTGCTATTACCAGATGTGGTGCTGCCATTACCTGCGACGGTGCTGCTATTACCAGATGTGGTGCTGCCATTACCTGCTACGGTGCTGCTATTACCAGATGTGGTGCTGCCATTACCTGCGACGGTGCTGCTATTACCAGATGTGGTGCTGCCATTACCTGCGACGGTGCTGCTATTACCAGATGTGGTGCTGCCATTACCTGCGACGGTGCTGCTATTACCAGATGTGGTGCTGCCATTACCTGCGACGGTGCTGCTATTACCAGATGTGGTGCTGCCATTACCTGCGACGGTGCTGCTATTACCAGATGTGGTGCTGCCATTACCTGCGACGGTGCTGCTATTACCAGATGTGGTGCTGCCATTACCTGCGACGGTGCTGCTATTACCAGATGTGGTGCTGCCATTACCTGCGACGGTGCTGCTATTACCAGATGTGGTGCTGCCATTACCTGCGACGGTGCTGCTATTACCAGATGTGGTGCTGCCATTACCTGCGACGGTGCTGCTATTACCAGATGTGGTGCTGCCATTACCTGCTACGGTGCTGCTATTACCAGATGTGGTGCTGCCATTACCTGCGACGGTGCTGCTATTACCAGATGTGGTGCTGCCATTACCTGCGACGGTGCTGCTATTACCAGATGTGGTGCTGCCATTACCTGCTACGGTGCTGCTATTACCAGATGTGGTGCTGCCATTACCTGCGACGGTGCTGCTATTACCAGATGTGGTGCTGCCATTACCTGCGACGGTGCTGCTATTACCAGATGTGGTGCTGCCATTACCTGCGACGGTGCTGCTATTACCAGATGTGGTGCTGCCATTACCTGCGACGGTGCTGCTATTACCAGATGTGGTGCTGCCATTACCTGCGACGGTGCTGCTATTACCAGATGTGGTGCTGCCATTACCTGCTACGGTGCTGCTATTACCAGATGTGGTGCTGCCATTACCTGCGACGGTGCTGCTATTACCAGATGTGGTGCTGCCATTACCTGCGACGGTGCTGCTATTACCAGATGTGGTGCTGCCATTACCTGCGACGGTGCTGCTATTACCAGATGTGGTGCTGCCATTACCTGCGACGGTGCTGCTATTACCAGATGTGGTGCTGCCATTACCTGCGACGGTGCTGCTATTACCAGATGTGGTGCTGCCATTACCTGCGACGGTGCTGCTATTACCAGATGTGGTGCTGCCATTACCTGCGACGGTGCTGCTATTACCAGATGTGGTGCTGCCATTACCTGCGACGGTGCTGCTATTACCAGATGTGGTGCTGCCATTACCTGCGACGGTGCTGCTATTACCAGATGTGGTGCTGCCATTACCTGCGACGGTGCTGCTATTACCAGATGTGGTGCTGCCATTACCTGCGACGGTGCTGCTATTACCAGATGTGGTGCTGCCATTACCTGCGACGGTGCTGCTATTACCAGATGTGGTGCTGCCATTACCTGCGACGGTGCTGCTATTACCAGATGTGGTGCTGCCATTACCTGCGACGGTCTGCTATTACCAGATGTGGTGCTGCCATTACCTGCGACGGTGCTGCTATTACCAGATGTGGTGCTGCCATTACCTGCGACGGTGCTGCTATTACCAGATGTGGTGCTGCCATTACCTGCTACGGTGCTGCTATTACCAGATGTGGTGCTGCCATTACCTGCGACGGTGCTGCTATTACCAGATGTGGTGCTGCCATTACCTGCGACGGTGCTGCTATTACCAGATGTGGTGCTGCCATTACCTGCTACGGTTCTGCTATTACCAGATGTGGTGCTGCCATTACCTGCGACGGTGCTGCTATTACCAGATGTGGTGCTGCCATTACCTGCGACGGTGCTGCTATTACCAGATGTGGTGCTGCCATTACCTGCGACGGTGCTGCTATTACCAGATGTGGTGCTGCCATTACCTGCGACGGTGCTGCTATTACCAGATGTGGTGCTGCCATTACCTGCGACGGTGCTGCTATTACCAGATGTGGTGCTGCCATTACCTGCTACGGTGCTGCTATTACCAGATGTGGTGCTGCCATTACCTGCGACGGTGCTGCTATTACCAGATGTGGTGCTGCCATTACCTGCGACGGTGCTGCTATTACCAGATGTGGTGCTGCCATTACCTGCTACGGTGCTGCTATTACCAGATGTGGTGCTGCCATTACCTGCGACGGTGCTGCTATTACCAGATGTGGTGCTGCCATTACCTGCGACGGTGCTGCTATTACCAGATGTGGTGCTGCCATTACCTGCGACGGTGCTGCTATTACCAGATGTGGTGCTGCCATTACCTGCGACGGTGCTGCTATTACCAGATGTGGTGCTGCCATTACCTGCGACGGTGCTGCTATTACCAGATGTGGTGCTGCCATTACCTGCGACGGTGCTGCTATTACCAGATGTGGTGCTGCCATTACCTGCGACGGTGCTGCTATTACCAGATGTGGTGCTGCCATACCTGCTACGGTGCTGCTATTACCAGATGTGGTGCTGCCATTACCTGCGACGGTGCTGCTATTACCAGATGTGGTGCTGCCATTACCTGCGACGGTGCTGCTATTACCAGATGTGGTGCTGCCATTACCTGCGACGGTGCTGCTATTACCAGATGTGGTGCTGCCATTACCTGCTACGGTGCTGCTATTACCAGATGTGGTGCTGCCATTACCTGCGACGGTGCTGCTATTACCAGATGTGGTGCTGCCATTACCTGCGACGGTGCTGCTATTACCAGATGTGGTGCTGCCATTACCTGCGACGGTGCTGCTATTACCAGATGTGGTGCTGCCATTACCTGCGACGGTGCTGCTATTACCAGATGTGGTGCTGCCATTACCTGCGACGGTGCTGCTATTACCAGATGTGGTGCTGCCATTACCTGCGACGGTGCTGCTATTACCAGATGTGGTGCTGCCATTACCTGCGACGGTGCTGCTATTACCAGATGTGGTGCTGCCATTACCTGCGACGGTGCTGCTATTACCAGATGTGGTGCTGCCATTACCTGCGACGGTGCTGCTATTACCAGATGTGGTGCTGCCATTACCTGCGACGGTGCTGCTATTACCAGATGTGGTGCTGCCATTACCTGCGACGGTGCTGCTATTACCAGATGTGGTGCTGCCATTACCTGCGACGGTGCTGCTATTACCAGATGTGGTGCTGCCATTACCTGCGACGGTGCTGCTATTACCAGATGTGGTGCTGCCATTACCTGCGACGGTGCTGCTATTACCAGATGTGGTGCTGCCATTACCTGCGACGGTGCTGCTATTACCAGATGTGGTGCTGCCATTACCTGCGACGGTGCTGCTATTACCAGATGTGGTGCTGCCATTACCTGCTACGGTGCTGCTATTACCAGATGTGGTGCTGCCATTACCTGCGACGGTGCTGCTATTACCAGATGTGGTGCTGCCATTACCTGCGACGGTGCTGCTATTACCAGATGTGGTGCTGCCATTACCTGCGACGGTGCTGCTATTACCAGATGTGGTGCTGCCATTACCTGCGACGGTGCTGCTATTACCAGATGTGGTGCTGCCATTACCTGCGACGGTGCTGCTATTACCAGATGTGGTGCTGCCATTACCTGCGACGGTGCTGCTATTACCAGATGTGGTGCTGCCATTACCTGCGACGGTGCTGCTATTACCAGATGTGGTGCTGCCATTACCTGCGACGGTGCTGCTATTACCAGATGTGGTGCTGCCATTACCTGCTACGGTGCTGCTATTACCAGATGTGGTGCTGCCATTACCTGCGACGGTGCTGCTATTACCAGATGTGGTGCTGCCATTACCTGCGACGGTGCTGCTATTACCAGATGTGGTGCTGCCATTACCTGCGACGGTGCTGCTATTACCAGATGTGGTGCTGCCATTACCTGCGACGGTGCTGCTATTACCAGATGTGGTGCTGCCATTACCTGCGACGGTGCTGCTATTACCAGATGTGGTGCTGCCATTACCTGCGACGGTGCTGCTATTACCAGATGTGGTGCTGCCATTACCTGCTACGGTGCTGCTATTACCAGATGTGGTGCTGCCATTACCTGCGACGGTGCTGCTATTACCAGATGTGGTGCTGCCATCACCTGCTACGGTGCTGCTATTACCAGATGTGGTGCTGCCATTACCTGCGACGGTGCTGCTATTACCAGATGTGGTGCTGCCATTACCTGCGACGGTGCTGCTATTACCAGATGTGGTGCTGCCATTACCTGCGACGGTGCTGCTATTACCAGATGTGGTGCTGCCATTACCTGCGACGGTGCTGCTATTACCAGATGTGGTGCTGCCATTACCTGCGACGGTGCTGCTATTACCAGATGTGGTGCTGCCATTACCTGCGACGGTGCTGCTATTACCAGATGTGGTGCTGCCATTACCTGCGACGGTGCTGCTATTACCAGATGTGGTGCTGCCATTACCTGCGACGGTGCTGCTATTACCAGATGTGGTGCTGCCATTACCTGCGACGGTGCTGCTATTACCAGATGTGGTGCTGCCATTACCTGCGACGGTGCTGCTATTACCAGATGTGGTGCTGCCATTACCTGCGACGGTGCTGCTATTACCAGATGTGGTGCTGCCATTACCTGCGACGGTGCTGCTATTACCAGATGTGGTGCTGCCATTACCTGCGACGGTGCTGCTATTACCAGATGTGGTGCTGCCATTACCTGCGACGGTGCTGCTATTACCAGATGTGGTGCTGCCATTACCTGCGACGGTGCTGCTATTACCAGATGTGGTGCTGCCATTACCTGCGACGGTGCTGCTATTACCAGATGTGGTGCTGCCATTACCTGCGACGGTGCTGCTATTACCAGATGTGGTGCTGCCATTACCTGCTACGGTGCTGCTATTACCAGATGTGGTGCTGCCATTACCTGCGACGGTGCTGCTATTACCAGATGTGGTGCTGCCATTACCTGCGACGGTGCTGCTATTACCAGATGTGGTGCTGCCATTACCTGCGACGGTGCTGCTATTACCAGATGTGGTGCTGCCATTACCTGCGACGGTGCTGCTATTACCAGATGTGGTGCTGCCATTACCTGCGACGGTGCTGCTATTACCAGATGTGGTGCTGCCATTACCTGCGACGGTGCTGCTATTACCAGATGTGGTGCTGCCATTACCTGCGACGGTGCTGCTATTACCAGATGTGGTGCTGCCATTACCTGCGACGGTGCTGCTATTACCAGATGTGGTGCTGCCATTACCTGCGACGGTGCTGCTATTACCAGATGTGGTGCTGCCATTACCTGCGACGGTGCTGCTATTACCAGATGTGGTGCTGCCATTACCTGCGACGGTGCTGCTATTACCAGATGTGGTGCTGCCATTACCTGCTACGGTTCTGCTATTACCAGATGTGGTGCTGCCATTACCTGCGACGGTGCTGCTATTACCAGATGTGGTGCTGCCATTACCTGCGACGGTGCTGCTATTACCAGATGTGGTGCTGCCATTACCTGCGACGGTGCTGCTATTACCAGATGTGGTGCTGCCATTACCTGCGACGGTGCTGCTATTACCAGATGTGGTGCTGCCATTACCTGCGACGGTGCTGCTATTACCAGATGTGGTGCTGCCATTACCTGCGACGGTGCTGCTATTACCAGATGTGGTGCTGCCATTACCTGCGACGGTGCTGCTATTACCAGATGTGGTGCTGCCATTACCTGCGACGGTGCTGCTATTACCAGATGTGGTGCTGCCATTACCTGCGACGGTGCTGCTATTACCAGATGTGGTGCTGCCATTACCTGCGACGGTGCTGCTATTACCAGATGTGGTGCTGCCATTACCTGCGACGGTGCTGCTATTACCAGATGTGGTGCTGCCATTACCTGCGACGGTGCTGCTATTACCAGATGTGGTGCTGCCATTACCTGCGACGGTGCTGCTATTACCAGATGTGGTGCTGCCATTACCTGCGACGGTGCTGCTATTACCAGATGTGGTGCTGCCATTACCTGCGACGGTGCTGCTATTACCAGATGTGGTGCTGCCATTACCTGCGACGGTGCTGCTATTACCAGATGTGGTGCTGCCATCACCTGCTACGGTGCTGCTATTACCAGATGTGGTGCTGCCATTACCTGCGACGGTGCTGCTATTACCAGATGTGGTGCTGCCATTACCTGCGACGGTGCTGCTATTACCAGATGTGGTGCTGCCATTACCTGCGACGGTGCTGCTATTACCAGATGTGGTGCTGCCATTACCTGCGACGGTGCTGCTATTACCAGATGTGGTGCTGCCATTACCTGCGACGGTGCTGCTATTACCAGATGTGGTGCTGCCATTACCTGCGACGGTGCTGCTATTACCAGATGTGGTGCTGCCATTACCTGCGACGGTGCTGCTATTACCAGATGTGGTGCTGCCATTACCTGCGACGGTGCTGCTATTACCAGATGTGGTGCTGCCATTACCTGCGACGGTGCTGCTATTACCAGATGTGGTGCTGCCATTACCTGCGACGGTGCTGCTATTACCAGATGTGGTGCTGCCATTACCTGCGACGGTGCTGCTATTACCAGATGTGGTGCTGCCATTACCTGCGACGGTGCTGCTATTACCAGATGTGGTGCTGCCATTACCTGCGACGGTGCTGCTATTACCAGATGTGGTGCTGCCATTACCTGCGACGGTGCTGCTATTACCAGATGTGGTGCTGCCATTACCTGCGACGGTGCTGCTATTACCAGATGTGGTGCTGCCATTACCTGCGACGGTGCTGCTATTACCAGATGTGGTGCTGCCATTACCTGCGACGGTGCTGCTATTACCAGATGTGGTGCTGCCATTACCTGCGACGGTGCTGCTATTACCAGATGTGGTGCTGCCATTACCTGCGACGGTGCTGCTATTACCAGATGTGGTGCTGCCATTACCTGCGACGGTGCTGCTATTACCAGATGTGGTGCTGCCATTACCTGCGACGGTGCTGCTATTACCAGATGTGGTGCTGCCATTACCTGCGACGGTGCTGCTATTACCAGATGTGGTGCTGCCATTACCTGCGACGGTGCTGCTATTACCAGATGTGGTGCTGCCATTACCTGCGACGGTGCTGCTATTACCAGATGTGGTGCTGCCATTACCTGCGACGGTGCTGCTATTACCAGATGTGGTGCTGCCATTACCTGCGACGGTGCTGCTATTACCAGATGTGGTGCTGCCATTACCTGCTACGGTGCTGCTATTACCAGATGTGGTGCTGCCATTACCTGCTACGGTTCTGCTATTACCAGATGTGGTGCTGCCATTACCTGCGACGGTGCTGCTATTACCAGATGTGGTGCTGCCATTACCTGCGACGGTGCTGCTATTACCAGATGTGGTGCTGCCATTACCTGCGACGGTGCTGCTATTACCAGATGTGGTGCTGCCATTACCTGCGACGGTGCTGCTATTACCAGATGTGGTGCTGCCATTACCTGCGACGGTGCTGCTATTACCAGATGTGGTGCTGCCATTACCTGCGACGGTGCTGCTATTACCAGATGTGGTGCTGCCATTACCTGCGACGGTGCTGCTATTACCAGATGTGGTGCTGCCATTACCTGCGACGGTGCTGCTATTACCAGATGTGGTGCTGCCATTACCTGCGACGGTGCTGCTATTACCAGATGTGGTGCTGCCATTACCTGCGACGGTGCTGCTATTACCAGATGTGGTGCTGCCATTACCTGCGACGGTGCTGCTATTACCAGATGTGGTGCTGCCATTACCTGCGACGGTGCTGCTATTACCAGATGTGGTGCTGCCATTACCTGCGACGGTGCTGCTATTACCAGATGTGGTGCTGCCATTACCTGCGACGGTGCTGCTATTACCAGATGTGGTGCTGCCATTACCTGCTACGGTTCTGCTATTACCAGATGTGGTGCTGCCATTACCTGCGACGGTGCTGCTATTACCAGATGTGGTGCTGCCATTACCTGCGACGGTGCTGCTATTACCAGATGTGGTGCTGCCATTACCTGCGACGGTGCTGCTATTACCAGATGTGGTGCTGCCATTACCTGCGACGGTGCTGCTATTACCAGATGTGGTGCTGCCATTACCTGCGACGGTGCTGCTATTACCAGATGTGGTGCTGCCATTACCTGCGACGGTGCTGCTATTACCAGATGTGGTGCTGCCATTACCTGCGACGGTGCTGCTATTACCAGATGTGGTGCTGCCATTACCTGCGACGGTGCTGCTATTACCAGATGTGGTGCTGCCATTACCTGCGACGGTGCTGCTATTACCAGATGTGGTGCTGCCATTACCTGCGACGGTGCTGCTATTACCAGATGTGGTGCTGCCATTACCTGCGACGGTGCTGCTATTACCAGATGTGGTGCTGCCATTACCTGCGACGGTGCTGCTATTACCAGATGTGGTGCTGCCATTACCTGCGACGGTGCTGCTATTACCAGATGTGGTGCTGCCATTACCTGCTACGGTTCTGCTATTACCAGATGTGGTGCTGCCATTACCTGCGACGGTGCTGCTATTACCAGATGTGGTGCTGCCATTACCTGCTACGGTTCTGCTATTACCAGATGTGGTGCTGCCATTACCTGCGACGGTGCTGCTATTACCAGATGTGGTGCTGCCATTACCTGCGACGGTGCTGCTATTACCAGATGTGGTGCTGCCATTACCTGCGACGGTGCTGCTATTACCAGATGTGGTGCTGCCATTACCTGCGACGGTGCTGCTATTACCAGATGTGGTGCTGCCATTACCTGCGACGGTGCTGCTATTACCAGATGTGGTGCTGCCATTACCTGCGACGGTGCTGCTATTACCAGATGTGGTGCTGCCATTACCTGCGACGGTGCTGCTATTACCAGATGTGGTGCTGCCATTACCTGCGACGGTGCTGCTATTACCAGATGTGGTGCTGCCATTACCTGCGACGGTGCTGCTATTACCAGATGTGGTGCTGCCATTACCTGCGACGGTGCTGCTATTACCAGATGTGGTGCTGCCATTACCTGCGACGGTGCTGCTATTACCAGATGTGGTGCTGCCATTACCTGCGACGGTGCTGCTATTACCAGATGTGGTGCTGCCATTACCTGCTACGGTGCTGCTATTACCAGATGTGGTGCTGCCATTACCTGCGACGGTGCTGCTATTACCAGATGTGGTGCTGCCATTACCTGCTACGGTGCTGCTATTACCAGATGTGGTGCTGCCATTACCTGCGACGGTGCTGCTATTACCAGATGTGGTGCTGCCATTACCTGCGACGGTGCTGCTATTACCAGATGTGGTGCTGCCATTACCTGCGACGGTGCTGCTATTACCAGATGTGGTGCTGCCATTACCTGCGACGGTGCTGCTATTACCAGATGTGGTGCTGCCATTACCTGCGACGGTGCTGCTATTACCAGATGTGGTGCTGCCATTACCTGCGACGGTGCTGCTATTACCAGATGTGGTGCTGCCATTACCTGCGACGGTGCTGCTATTACCAGATGTGGTGCTGCCATTACCTGCGACGGTGCTGCTATTACCAGATGTGGTGCTGCCATTACCTGCGACGGTGCTGCTATTACCAGATGTGGTGCTGCCATTACCTGCGACGGTGCTGCTATTACCAGATGTGGTGCTGCCATTACCTGCGACGGTGCTGCTATTACCAGATGTGGTGCTGCCATTACCTGCGACGGTGCTGCTATTACCAGATGTGGTGCTGCCATTACCTGCGACGGTGCTGCTATTACCAGATGTGGTGCTGCCATTACCTGCGACGGTGCTGCTATTACCAGATGTGGTGCTGCCATTACCTGCTACGGTGCTGCTATTACCAGATGTGGTGCTGCCATTACCTGCGACGGTGCTGCTATTACCAGATGTGGTGCTGCCATTACCTGCGACGGTGCTGCTATTACCAGATGTGGTGCTGCCATTACCTGCGACGGTGCTGCTATTACCAGATGTGGTGCTGCCATTACCTGCGACGGTGCTGCTATTACCAGATGTGGTGCTGCCATTACCTGCGACGGTGCTGCTATTACCAGATGTGGTGCTGCCATTACCTGCTACGGTTCTGCTATTACCAGATGTGGTGCTGCCATTACCTGCGACGGTGCTGCTATTACCAGATGTGGTGCTGCCATTACCTGCGACGGTGCTGCTATTACCAGATGTGGTGCTGCCATTACCTGCTACGGTGCTGCTATTACCAGATGTGGTGCTGCCATTACCTGCTACGGTTCTGCTATTACCAGATGTGGTGCTGCCATTACCTGCTACGGTGCTGCTATTACCAGATGTGGTGCTGCCATCACCTGCTACGGTGCTGCTATTACCAGATGTGGTGCTGCCATTACCTGCGACGGTGCTGCTATTACCAGATGTGGTGCTGCCATTACCTGCGACGGTGCTGCTATTACCAGATGTGGTGCTGCCATTACCTGCGACGGTGCTGCTATTACCAGATGTGGTGCTGCCATTACCTGCGACGGTGCTGCTATTACCAGATGTGGTGCTGCCATTACCTGCGACGGTGCTGCTATTACCAGATGTGGTGCTGCCATTACCTGCGACGGTGCTGCTATTACCAGATGTGGTGCTGCCATTACCTGCGACGGTGCTGCTATTACCAGATGTGGTGCTGCCATTACCTGCGACGGTGCTGCTATTACCAGATGTGGTGCTGCCATTACCTGCGACGGTGCTGCTATTACCAGATGTGGTGCTGCCATTACCTGCTACGGTTCTGCTATTACCAGATGTGGTGCTGCCATTACCTGCGACGGTGCTGCTATTACCAGATGTGGTGCTGCCATTACCTGCTACGGTTCTGCTATTACCAGATGTGGTGCTGCCATTACCTGCGACGGTGCTGCTATTACCAGATGTGGTGCTGCCATTACCTGCGACGGTGCTGCTATTACCAGATGTGGTGCTGCCATTACCTGCGACGGTGCTGCTATTACCAGATGTGGTGCTGCCATTACCTGCTACGGTGCTGCTATTACCAGATGTGGTGCTGCCATTACCTGCGACGGTGCTGCTATTACCAGATGTGGTGCTGCCATTACCTGCGACGGTGCTGCTATTACCAGATGTGGTGCTGCCATTACCTGCGACGGTGCTGCTATTACCAGATGTGGTGCTGCCATTACCTGCGACGGTGCTGCTATTACCAGATGTGGTGCTGCCATTACCTGCTACGGTTCTGCTATTACCAGATGTGGTGCTGCCATTACCTGCTACGGTTCTGCTATTACCAGATGTGGTGCTGCCATTACCTGCGACGGTGCTGCTATTACCAGATGTGGTGCTGCCATTACCTGCGACGGTGCTGCTATTACCAGATGTGGTGCTGCCATTACCTGCGACGGTGCTGCTATTACCAGATGTGGTGCTGCCATTACCTGCGACGGTGCTGCTATTACCAGATGTGGTGCTGCCATTACCTGCGACGGTGCTGCTATTACCAGATGTGGTGCTGCCATTACCTGCGACGGTGCTGCTATTACCAGATGTGGTGCTGCCATTACCTGCGACGGTGCTGCTATTACCAGATGTGGTGCTGCCATTACCTGCGACGGTGCTGCTATTACCAGATGTGGTGCTGCCATTACCTGCTACGGTTCTGCTATTACCAGATGTGGTGCTGCCATTACCTGCTACGGTTCTGCTATTACCAGATGTGGTGCTGCCATTACCTGCGACGGTGCTGCTATTACCAGATGTGGTGCTGCCATTACCTGCGACGGTGCTGCTATTACCAGATGTGGTGCTGCCATTACCTGCTACGGTGCTGCTATTACCAGATGTGGTGCTGCCATTACCTGCTACGGTTCTGCTATTACCAGATGTGGTGCTGCCATTACCTGCGACGGTGCTGCTATTACCAGATGTGGTGCTGCCATTACCTGCTACGGTTCTGCTATTACCAGATGTGGTGCTGCCATTACCTGCGACGGTGCTGCTATTACCAGATGTGGTGCTGCCATTACCTGCGACGGTGCTGCTATTACCAGATGTGGTGCTGCCATTACCTGCGACGGTGCTGCTATTACCAGATGTGGTGCTGCCATTACCTGCGACGGTGCTGCTATTACCAGATGTGGTGCTGCCATTACCTGCGACGGTGCTGCTATTACCAGATGTGGTGCTGCCATCACCTGCTACGGTGCTGCTATTACCAGATGTGGTGCTGCCATCACCTGCTACGGTGCTGCTATTACCAGATGTGGTGCTGCCATTACCTGCGACGGTGCTGCTATTACCAGATGTGGTGCTGCCATTACCTGCGACGGTGCTGCTATTACCAGATGTGGTGCTGCCATTACCTGCGACGGTGCTGCTATTACCAGATGTGGTGCTGCCATTACCTGCGACGGTGCTGCTATTACCAGATGTGGTGCTGCCATTACCTGCGACGGTGCTGCTATTACCAGATGTGGTGCTGCCATTACCTGCGACGGTGCTGCTATTACCAGATGTGGTGCTGCCATTACCTGCGACGGTGCTGCTATTACCAGATGTGGTGCTGCCATTACCTGCGACGGTGCTGCTATTACCAGATGTGGTGCTGCCATTACCTGCGACGGTGCTGCTATTACCAGATGTGGTGCTGCCATTACCTGCGACGGTGCTGCTATTACCAGATGTGGTGCTGCCATTACCTGCGACGGTGCTGCTATTACCAGATGTGGTGCTGCCATTACCTGCGACGGTGCTGCTATTACCAGATGTGGTGCTGCCATTACCTGCGACGGTGCTGCTATTACCAGATGTGGTGCTGCCATCACCTGCTACGGTGCTGCTATTACCAGATGTGGTGCTGCCATCACCTGCTACGGTGCTGCTATTACCAGATGTGGTGCTGCCATTACCTGCGACGGTGCTGCTATTACCAGATGTGGTGCTGCCATTCACCTGCTACGGTGCTGCTATTACCAGATGTGGTGCTGCCATTACCTGCGACGGTGCTGCTATTACCAAGTGGTGCTGCCATTACCTGCGACGGTGCTGCTATTACCAGATGTGGTGCTGCCATTACCTGCGACGGTGCTGCTATTACCAGATGTGGTGCTGCCATCACCTGCTACGGTGCTGCTATTACCAGATGTGGTGCTGCCATCACCTGCTACGGTGCTGCTATTACCAGATGTGGTGCTGCCATTACCTGCGACGGTGCTGCTATTACCAGATGTGGTGCTGCCATTCACCTGCTACGGTGCTGCTATTACCAGATGTGGTGCTGCCATTACCTGCGACGGTGCTGCTATTACCAGATGTGGTGCTGCCATTACCTGCGACGGTGCTGCTATTACCAGATGTGGTGCTGCCATTACCTGCGACGGTGCTGCTATTACCAGATGTGGTGCTGCCATTACCTGCGACGGTGCTGCTATTACCAGATGTGGTGCTGCCATTACCTGCGACGGTGCTGCTATTACCAGATGTGGTGCTGCCATTACCTGCGACGGTGCTGCTATTACCAGATGTGGTGCTGCCATTACCTGCGACGGTGCTGCTATTACCAGATGTGGTGCTGCCATTACCTGCGACGGTGCTGCTATTACCAGATGTGGTGCTGCCATTACCTGCGACGGTGCTGCTATTACCAGATGTGGTGCTGCCATTACCTGCGACGGTGCTGCTATTACCAGATGTGGTGCTGCCATTACCTGCGACGGTGCTGCTATTACCAGATGTGGTGCTGCCATTACCTGCTACGGTTCTGCTATTACCAGATGTGGTGCTGCCATTACCTGCGACGGTGCTGCTATTACCAGATGTGGTGCTGCCATTACCTGCGACGGTGCTGCTATTACCAGATGTGGTGCTGCCATTACCTGCGACGGTGCTGCTATTACCAGATGTGGTGCTGCCATTACCTGCGACGGTGCTGCTATTACCAGATGTGGTGCTGCCATTACCTGCGACGGTGCTGCTATTACCAGATGTGGTGCTGCCATTACCTGCGACGGTGCTGCTATTACCAGATGTGGTGCTGCCATTACCTGCGACGGTGCTGCTATTACCAGATGTGGTGCTGCCATTACCTGCTACGGTTCTGCTATTACCAGATGTGGTGCTGCCATTACCTGCTACGGTTCTGCTATTACCAGATGTGGTGCTGCCATTACCTGCGACGGTGCTGCTATTACCAGATGTGGTGCTGCCATTACCTGCTACGGTGCTGCTATTACCAGATGTGGTGCTGCCATTACCTGCGACGGTGCTGCTATTACCAGATGTGGTGCTGCTATTACCAGATGTGGTGCTGCCATTACCTGCGACGGTGCTGCTATTACCAGATGTGGTGCTGCCATTACCTGCGACGGTGCTGCTATTACCAGATGTGGTGCTGCCATTACCTGCTACGGTGCTGCTATTACCAGATGTGGTGCTGCCATTACCTGCTACGGTTCTGCTATTACCAGATGTGGTGCTGCCATTACCTGCGACGGTGCTGCTATTACCAGATGTGGTGCTGCCATTACCTGCTACGGTTCTGCTATTACCAGATGTGGTGCTGCCATTACCTGCGACGGTGCTGCTATTACCAGATGTGGTGCTGCCATTACCTGCGACGGTGCTGCTATTACCAGATGTGGTGCTGCCATTACCTGCGACGGTGCTGCTATTACCAGATGTGGTGCTGCCATTACCTGCGACGGTGCTGCTATTACCAGATGTGGTGCTGCCATTACCTGCGACGGTGCTGCTATTACCAGATGTGGTGCTGCCATTACCTGCGACGGTGCTGCTATTACCAGATGTGGTGCTGCCATTACCTGCTACGGTTCTGCTATTACCAGATGTGGTGCTGCCATTACCTGCTACGGTTCTGCTATTACCAGATGTGGTGCTGCCATTACCTGCGACGGTGCTGCTATTACCAGATGTGGTGCTGCCATTTCCTGCTCGGTGCTGCTATTACCAGATGTGGTGCTGCCATTACCTGCGACGGTGCTGCTATTACCAGATGTGGTGCTGCTATTACCAGATGTGGTGCTGCCATTACCTGCGACGGTGCTGCTATTACCAGATGTGGTGCTGCCATTACCTGCGACGGTGCTGCTATTACCAGATGTGGTGCTGCCATTACCTGCTACGGTGCTGCTATTACCAGATGTGGTGCTGCCATTACCTGCTACGGTTCTGCTATTACCAGATGTGGTGCTGCCATTACCTGCGACGGTGCTGCTATTACCAGATGTGGTGCTGCCATTACCTGCGACGGTGCTGCTATTACCAGATGTGGTGCTGCCATTACCTGCGACGGTGCTGCTATTACCAGATGTGGTGCTGCCATTACCTGCGACGGTGCTGCTATTACCAGATGTGGTGCTGCCATTACCTGCTACGGTGCTGCTATTACCAGATGTGGTGCTGCCATTACCTGCTACGGTTCTGCTATTACCAGATGTGGTGCTGCCATTACCTGCGACGGTGCTGCTATTACCAGATGTGGTGCTGCCATTACCTGCTACGGTTCTGCTATTACCAGATGTGGTGCTGCCATTACCTGCGACGGTGCTGCTATTACCAGATGTGGTGCTGCCATTACCTGCGACGGTGCTGCTATTACCAGATGTGGTGCTGCCATTACCTGCGACGGTGCTGCTATTACCAGATGTGGTGCTGCCATTACCTGCGACGGTGCTGCTATTACCAGATGTGGTGCTGCCATTACCTGCGACGGTGCTGCTATTACCAGATGTGGTGCTGCCATTACCTGCTACGGTGCTGCTATTACCAGATGTGGTGCTGCCATTACCTGCGACGGTGCTGCTATTACCAGATGTGGTGCTGCCATTACCTGCGACGGTGCTGCTATTACCAGATGTGGTGCTGCCATTACCTGCGACGGTGCTGCTATTACCAGATGTGGTGCTGCCATTACCTGCGACGGTGCTGCTATTACCAGATGTGGTGCTGCCATTACCTGCTACGGTTCTGCTATTACCAGATGTGGTGCTGCCATTACCTGCTACGGTTCTGCTATTACCAGATGTGGTGCTGCCATTACCTGCGACGGTGCTGCTATTACCAGATGTGGTGCTGCCATTACCTGCGACGGTGCTGCTATTACCAGATGTGGTGCTGCCATTACCTGCTACGGTGCTGCTATTACCAGATGTGGTGCTGCCATTACCTGCTACGGTTCTGCTATTACCAGATGTGGTGCTGCCATTACCTGCGACGGTGCTGCTATTACCAGATGTGGTGCTGCCATTACCTGCTACGGTTCTGCTATTACCAGATGTGGTGCTGCCATTACCTGCGACGGTGCTGCTATTACCAGATGTGGTGCTGCCATTACCTGCGACGGTGCTGCTATTACCAGATGTGGTGCTGCCATTACCTGCGACGGTGCTGCTATTACCAGATGTGGTGCTGCCATTACCTGCGACGGTGCTGCTATTACCAGATGTGGTGCTGCCATTACCTGCGACGGTGCTGCTATTACCAGATGTGGTGCTGCCATTACCTGCGACGGTGCTGCTATTACCAGATGTGGTGCTGCCATTACCTGCTACGGTGCTGCTATTACCAGATGTGGTGCTGCCATTACCTGCGACGGTGCTGCTATTACCAGATGTGGTGCTGCCATTACCTGCGACGGTGCTGCTATTACCAGATGTGGTGCTGCCATTACCTGCGACGGTGCTGCTATTACCAGATGTGGTGCTGCCATTACCTGCGACGGTGCTGCTATTACCAGATGTGGTGCTGCCATTACCTGCTACGGTTCTGCTATTACCAGATGTGGTGCTGCCATTACCTGCTACGGTTCTGCTATTACCAGATGTGGTGCTGCCATTACCTGCGACGGTGCTGCTATTACCAGATGTGGTGCTGCCATTACCTGCGACGGTGCTGCTATTACCAGATGTGGTGCTGCCATTACCTGCTACGGTGCTGCTATTACCAGATGTGGTGCTGCCATTACCTGCTACGGTTCTGCTATTACCAGATGTGGTGCTGCCATCACCTGCTACGGTGCTGCTATTACCAGATGTGGTGCTGCCATCACCTGCTACGGTGCTGCTATTACCAGATGTGGTGCTGCCATTACCTGCGACGGTGCTGCTATTACCAGATGTGGTGCTGCCATCACCTGCTACGGTGCTGCTATTACCAGATGTGGTGCTGCCATTACCTGCGACGGTGCTGCTATTACCAGATGTGGTGCTGCCATTACCTGCGACGGTGCTGCTATTACCAGATGTGGTGCTGCCATTACCTGCGACGGTGCTGCTATTACCAGATGTGGTGCTGCCATTACCTGCGACGGTGCTGCTATTACCAGATGTGGTGCTGCCATTACCTGCGACGGTGCTGCTATTACCAGATGTGGTGCTGCCATTACCTGCGACGGTGCTGCTATTACCAGATGTGGTGCTGCCATTACCTGCGACGGTGCTGCTATTACCAGATGTGGTGCTGCCATTACCTGCGACGGTGCTGCTATTACCAGATGTGGTGCTGCCATTACCTGCGACGGTGCTGCTATTACCAGATGTGGTGCTGCCATTACCTGCGACGGTGCTGCTATTACCAGATGTGGTGCTGCCATTACCTGCGACGGTGCTGCTATTACCAGATGTGGTGCTGCCATTACCTGCTACGGTTCTGCTATTACCAGATGTGGTGCTGCCATTACCTGCTACGGTTCTGCTATTACCAGATGTGGTGCTGCCATTACCTGCGACGGTGCTGCTATTACCAGATGTGGTGCTGCCATTACCTGCGACGGTGCTGCTATTACCAGATGTGGTGCTGCCATTACCTGCTACGGTGCTGCTATTACCAGATGTGGTGCTGCCATCACCTGCTACGGTGCTGCTATTACCAGATGTGGTGCTGCCATCACCTGCTACGGTGCTGCTATTACCAGATGTGGTGCTGCCATTACCTGCGACGGTGCTGCTATTACCAGATGTGCTGCTGCCATCACCTGCTACGGTGCTGCTATTACCAGATGTGGTGCTGCCATTACCTGCGACGGTGCTGCTATTACCAGATGTGGTGCTGCCATTACCTGCGACGGTGCTGCTATTACCAGATGTGGTGCTGCCATTACCTGCGACGGTGCTGCTATTACCAGATGTGGTGCTGCCATTACCTGCGACGGTGCTGCTATTACCAGATGTGGTGCTGCCATTACCTGCGACGGTGCTGCTATTACCAGATGTGGTGCTGCCATTACCTGCTACGGTTCTGCTATTACCAGATGTGGTGCTGCCATTACCTGCTACGGTTCTGCTATTACCAGATGTGGTGCTGCCATTACCTGCGACGGTGCTGCTATTACCAGATGTGGTGCTGCCATTACCTGCGACGGTGCTGCTATTACCAGATGTGGTGCTGCCATTACCTGCTACGGTTCTGCTATTACCAGATGTGGTGCTGCCATTACCTGCTACGGTTCTGCTATTACCAGATGTGGTGCTGCCATTACCTGCGACGGTGCTGCTATTACCAGATGTGGTGCTGCCATTACCTGCTACGGTGCTGCTATTACCAGATGTGGTGCTGCCATTACCTGCGACGGTGCTGCTATTACCAGATGTGGTGCTGCCATTACCTGCGACGGTGCTGCTATTACCAGATGTGGTGCTGCCATTACCTGCGACGGTGCTGCTATTACCAGATGTGGTGCTGCCATTACCTGCTACGGTGCTGCTATTACCAGATGTGGTGCTGCCATTACCTGCTACGGTTCTGCTATTACCAGATGTGGTGCTGCCATTACCTGCGACGGTGCTGCTATTACCAGATGTGGTGCTGCCATTACCTGCGACGGTGCTGCTATTACCAGATGTGGTGCTGCCATTACCTGCGACGGTGCTGCTATTACCAGATGTGGTGCTGCCATTACCTGCGACGGTGCTGCTATTACCAGATGTGGTGCTGCCATTACCTGCTACGGTGCTGCTATTACCAGATGTGGTGCTGCCATTACCTGCTACGGTTCTGCTATTACCAGATGTGGTGCTGCCATTACCTGCGACGGTGCTGCTATTACCAGATGTGGTGCTGCCATTACCTGCTACGGTTCTGCTATTACCAGATGTGGTGCTGCCATTACCTGCGACGGTGCTGCTATTACCAGATGTGGTGCTGCCATTACCTGCGACGGTGCTGCTATTACCAGATGTGGTGCTGCCATTACCTGCGACGGTGCTGCTATTACCAGATGTGGTGCTGCCATTACCTGCGACGGTGCTGCTATTACCAGATGTGGTGCTGCCATTACCTGCGACGGTGCTGCTATTACCAGATGTGGTGCTGCCATTACCTGCTACGGTGCTGCTATTACCAGATGTGGTGCTGCCATTACCTGCGACGGTGCTGCTATTACCAGATGTGGTGCTGCCATTACCTGCGACGGTGCTGCTATTACCAGATGTGGTGCTGCCATTACCTGCGACGGTGCTGCTATTACCAGATGTGGTGCTGCCATTACCTGCGACGGTGCTGCTATTACCAGATGTGGTGCTGCCATTACCTGCTACGGTTCTGCTATTACCAGATGTGGTGCTGCCATTACCTGCTACGGTTCTGCTATTACCAGATGTGGTGCTGCCATTACCTGCGACGGTGCTGCTATTACCAGATGTGGTGCTGCCATTACCTGCGACGGTGCTGCTATTACCAGATGTGGTGCTGCCATTACCTGCGACGGTGCTGCTATTACCAGATGTGGTGCTGCCATTACCTGCTACGGTGCTGCTATTACCAGATGTGGTGCTGCCATTACCTGCGACGGTGCTGCTATTACCAGATGTGGTGCTGCCATTACCTGCGACGGTGCTGCTATTACCAGATGTGGTGCTGCCATTACCTGCGACGGTGCTGCTATTACCAGATGTGGTGCTGCCATTACCTGCGACGGTGCTGCTATTACCAGATGTGGTGCTGCCATTACCTGCTACGGTTCTGCTATTACCAGATGTGGTGCTGCCATTACCTGCTACGGTTCTGCTATTACCAGATGTGGTGCTGCCATTACCTGCGACGGTGCTGCTATTACCAGATGTGGTGCTGCCATTACCTGCGACGGTGCTGCTATTACCAGATGTGGTGCTGCCATTACCTGCTACGGTGCTGCTATTACCAGATGTGGTGCTGCCATTACCTGCTACGGTTCTGCTATTACCAGATGTGGTGCTGCCATTACCTGCGACGGTGCTGCTATTACCAGATGTGGTGCTGCCATTACCTGCTACGGTTCTGCTATTACCAGATGTGGTGCTGCCATTACCTGCGACGGTGCTGCTATTACCAGATGTGGTGCTGCCATTACCTGCGACGGTGCTGCTATTACCAGATGTGGTGCTGCCATTACCTGCGACGGTGCTGCTATTACCAGATGTGGTGCTGCCATTACCTGCGACGGTGCTGCTATTACCAGATGTGGTGCTGCCATTACCTGCGACGGTGCTGCTATTACCAGATGTGGTGCTGCCATCACCTGCTACGGTGCTGCTATTACCAGATGTGGTGCTGCCATCACCTGCTACGGTGCTGCTATTACCAGATGTGGTGCTGCCATTACCTGCGACGGTGCTGCTATTACCAGATGTGGTGCTGCCATCACCTGCTACGGTGCTGCTATTACCAGATGTGGTGCTGCCATTACCTGCGACGGTGCTGCTATTACCAGATGTGGTGCTGCCATTACCTGCGACGGTGCTGCTATTACCAGATGTGGTGCTGCCATTACCTGCGACGGTGCTGCTATTACCAGATGTGGTGCTGCCATTACCTGCGACGGTGCTGCTATTACCAGATGTGGTGCTGCCATTACCTGCGACGGTGCTGCTATTACCAGATGTGGTGCTGCCATTACCTGCGACGGTGCTGCTATTACCAGATGTGGTGCTGCCATTACCTGCGACGGTGCTGCTATTACCAGATGTGGTGCTGCCATTACCTGCGACGGTGCTGCTATTACCAGATGTGGTGCTGCCATTACCTGCGACGGTGCTGCTATTACCAGATGTGGTGCTGCCATTACCTGCGACGGTGCTGCTATTACCAGATGTGGTGCTGCCATTACCTGCGACGGTGCTGCTATTACCAGATGTGGTGCTGCCATCACCTGCTACGGTGCTGCTATTACCAGATGTGGTGCTGCCATCACCTGCTACGGTGCTGCTATTACCAGATGTGGTGCTGCCATTACCTGCGACGGTGCTGCTATTACCAGATGTGGTGCTGCCATCACCTGCTACGGTGCTGCTATTACCAGATGTGGTGCTGCCATTACCTGCGACGGTGCTGCTATTACCAAAAGTGGTGCTGCCATTACCTGCGACGGTGCTGCTATTACCAGATGTGGTGCTGCCATTACCTGCGACGGTGCTGCTATTACCAGATGTGGTGCTGCCATCACCTGCTACGGTGCTGCTATTACCAGATGTGGTGCTGCCATCACCTGCTACGGTGCTGCTATTACCAGATGTGGTGCTGCCATTACCTGCGACGGTGCTGCTATTACCAGATGTGGTGCTGCCATCACCTGCTACGGTGCTGCTATTACCAGATGTGGTGCTGCCATTACCTGCGACGGTGCTGCTATTACCAGATGTGGTGCTGCCATTACCTGCGACGGTGCTGCTATTACCAGATGTGGTGCTGCCATTACCTGCGACGGTGCTGCTATTACCAGATGTGGTGCTGCCATTACCTGCGACGGTGCTGCTATTACCAGATGTGGTGCTGCCATTACCTGCGACGGTGCTGCTATTACCAGATGTGGTGCTGCCATTACCTGCGACGGTGCTGCTATTACCAGATGTGGTGCTGCCATTACCTGCGACGGTGCTGCTATTACCAGATGTGGTGCTGCCATTACCTGCGACGGTGCTGCTATTACCAGATGTGGTGCTGCCATTACCTGCGACGGTGCTGCTATTACCAGATGTGGTGCTGCCATTACCTGCGACGGTGCTGCTATTACCAGATGTGGTGCTGCCATTACCTGCGACGGTGCTGCTATTACCAGATGTGGTGCTGCCATTACCTGCGACGGTGCTGCTATTACCAGATGTGGTGCTGCCATTACCTGCTACGGTGCTGCTATTACCAGATGTGGTGCTGCCATTACCTGCGACGGTGCTGCTATTACCAGATGTGGTGCTGCCATTACCTGCGACGGTGCTGCTATTACCAGATGTGGTGCTGCCATTACCTGCTACGGTTCTGCTATTACCAGATGTGGTGCTGCCATTACCTGCGACGGTGCTGCTATTACCAGATGTGGTGCTGCCATCACCTGCTACGGTGCTGCTATTACCAGATGTGGTGCTGCCATTACCTGCGACGGTGCTGCTATTACCAGATGTGGTGCTGCCATTACCTGCGACGGTGCTGCTATTACCAGATGTGGTGCTGCCATTACCTGCGACGGTGCTGCTATTACCAGATGTGGTGCTGCCATTACCTGCTACGGTGCTGCTATTACCAGATGTGGTGCTGCCATTACCTGCGACGGTGCTGCTATTACCAGATGTGGTGCTGCCATCACCTGCTACGGTGCTGCTATTACCAGATGTGGTGCTGCCATTACCTGCTACGGTGCTGCTATTACCAGATGTGGTGCTGCCATTACCTGCGACGGTGCTGCTATTACCAGATGTGGTGCTGCCATTACCTGCGACGGTGCTGCTATTACCAGATGTGGTGCTGCCATTACCTGCGACGGTGCTGCTATTACCAGATGTGGTGCTGCCATTACCTGCTACGGTTCTGCTATTACCAGATGTGGTGCTGCCATTACCTGCGACGGTGCTGCTATTACCAGATGTGGTGCTGCCATTACCTGCGACGGTGCTGCTATTACCAGATGTGGTGGGGCAGGAGGAGCAGAAGGTGGAGCAGTCGGAGCAGAAGAGGGTGGTGTTGACAGCGACCACGGTGCATGGCCCTGTGGGGCATGACATGAGCAGCCCGTCATAGCGCCTGCGGTGGGGATTGGAGTGAAGTGGGGCAAGGTAAAGAGGGGTACGTAACAGGATTGAGACGTCAGTAAGCGGTTGAGCGGAAGAGAGTGGTGTTGACTGCATCAACGGTGCATCGCCCTGTTGGGCATGACATGACCAGCCCGTCATACTGCCTGCGGTGGGGATTGGGGTAATAGGATGAGGTGTTAGCATGTGCTGGCATGGGGTGATGACATGGGGTGATGACAAGGGGTGATAACATGGGGTGATAACATGGGGTGAATCGGTGATGGCATGGGGTGGTGGCATGGTTTGGGTGACAGCATGAGAAGTCTCAAAGAACACATGAGCACTGCATTCTATGAGTTGCAGTGGGCACGGAGTGCATAGCAAGTGGAGTTTCTGATACATCAGCTAAGAAGTTTAGAACACAGCACATGACATGAGCAGTGCGGTATATCAGTTGCAATGCGGGGTAGGGGCATCAGAGGCGTGGGCTGCTGCAAAGGGCACTTAGGAGGAGTGGATAACAGGTTGACAGGGTAGCAAGAGAGGGGGAAAGGCAGAGGCGTGGTGGATTACAGGACTTGGGCCGTGGTCATTGTTTTGTGCTTTCTAGGATTAGCCATTGCAGGAAAAGACACCCTGCAACTGAGAGCGCGAAAGGCAGAGGCGTGGCGTGCATTACAGGACTTCAACCGTGGTCATTGTTGCAAGGGTCTCCGGCAAGCTCCCTTGCATGTCCGTGTAGTCAACATAGCTGGGGGAGGAGAGGAGAGGAGAGGGGGGGAAGGGAGAGGGAGGGAGGAGGAGAGGGAGGGAAGAGGAGAGGTGCGGAGGAGGAGAGGGGGGGAGGAGGAGAGTGGGGGGAGAGGAGCAAGAGAGGCATGATACAGCACACATGGATCATGCGGCAAGCTCCCTTGCATGTCCTTTTAGTCTACATAGCCGGGGGGGGGGGGGGGGGGGGGGGAGAGGAGAGGAGAGGCGAGGAAGGTACGCATGGTACAGCACAGTGCACATGGACCATATGGCGAGCTGCCTTGCATGTGCGAGCTGCCTTGCATGTGCGAGCTGCCTTGCATGTGCGAGCTGCCTTGCATGTGCGCGCTGCCTTGCATGTGCGAGCTGCCTTGCATGTGCGAGCTGCCTTGCATGTGCGAGCTGCCTTGCATGTGCGCGCTGCCTATGTAGGAACAGCAACTGGAGAGGATGGGGGGAGACAGAGGTGTGGGGAAGAGGGAAACAGCGGCGGGGATGGGACACATGGTAGGGCACAGTGCATGGACCATATGGCGAGCTGCCTTGCATGTGCGCGCTGCCTATGTAGGAACAGCAACTGGAGAGGATGGGGATGTGTAGTGAGTGGGAGTGATTCCGAGAATTCTCGTGGAAAACCAACTCGTCTCCTTTAGGGATGGGGAGCGGGAGGGAGCGGGTGTATGCTGTACATACACCACCCACGTGCATCGCGGTGAAAGATGGGTTTGGATTTTGAGAATTCTCAAAAACCAGCTCGCGGTGAAAGATGGATTTGGAGGGTACGTTTGAGGTGCCTAAGAACGAGGGAGGGAGAAGGTGGCCTGGCCCACGTGTAGTCCAGCTTCTTTAATTAACTGATGTTTTATAGCAGGGTCCCTGAGAGGAGAACTGGTTGTGACTTTTGAGGTGCCTCAGAAGGAACACATGTGCAATCCGTGTGTGATGATGCGATTTTTGAGTCGACTCAAGAAACATACATGCAGTCCAGCTTCTTTAGGTTACTGATGTTGTAGGGCAGCGTCCCTGAGAGCTGGACAGTTGTATGGCAATTAGCTCCTGAAGAGCCGGTTGTGACTTTTGAGGTGCCTCAGAGGGAACAGACATACATGTAGTCCAGCTTCTTTAAGTTGCTGATGTTGTACGGCAGGGTCCCTGAGAGCTGGTTGTGCGAAAGGTCCCTGAACGTGCAAGATGGATTTGGAGGGAGAGTGAGATGGTGGGTGTGTTACGTGGTGGTGTATTGTATGTATGTGTTACGTGCAGTGGTGTGTGCGTGTTGTGTGGTGTGGTGTGTGCGACGTGCTTTGGTGTGTGCGTGTGTTACTTACATTTGCAAGTAAGTGCGTTGCATCTACAAGCATGTGCGTTACACCTACAAGTGCGTTACATCTTCACGTGCGTTACATCTACAAGTGCGTTACATCTTCACGTGCGTTACATCTACAAGTGTGTTACGTCTTCAAGTGCGTTACACGCACAGGTACATGAGCTCTGCGATGCTGGTGATGGAATCTGGAATGGTGCCGCCGATGCGATTGTTCTGCAGCAAGCTGGAGGGCGGAGAGAGAGAGAGAAAGGGAGAAAGAGGATTTTCCTGCGGTTGTTTCTTGAGTTGACCCAAAATTCAACTCAATGATGGTGATGGAACCTGAAATGGTACCGCCGATGCGATTGTTCTGCAACATGCCCGAGGGTGGAGAGAGAGGGAGAGAGAGAAACAATCCAGGTCTGTAGTGACTGCCCCTATCAGAGCATTACTGCACTGCACTGCACTGCACTGCACTGCACTGCACTGCACTGCACTGCACTGCACAGCACTGCAGCATTGCTGTAGCATTATTTTGATAGGGACAGTCAACAAGACCGACAGGCACGTAAGCAGCACAGCAGGTTAGTAAACCAGCAGGGTCTCAAACTGCTGCTGGTACTTGATTGACTGACAGGATGGTAATCCAGTGCAAGTCGCCGATGTTGGAGGGAGGGTATGCTTTTTGAGTCGACTAAGAAAGTAATCCACCAGGGTCTCAGACTGCTGCTGCAATGTGCTTGACTGACAGTGTAGTAATCCAGCGCAAGTTGCCAATGCTGGAGGGGATGCTGCCAGAGAGACTGTTGTATGAGAGGTCCCTGGTGAGGGGTGGAGCAGGATGGGGAGGTGAGGAGTGGGGGAGTGGGTGGGGTGGAGCGGGATGGGGAGGGGTGGAGTGAGGGAGCGGGTGGAGTGGGGGAGTGGGTGGGGTGGATGGGCGGGAGTTGTGGAGTGGGCGCGCAGGAAGAGGACACTTCGACATTTGATACGTCTTAAAAGGAGGGAGGAGTGGGAGCGAGAGCTGGTGGATGACTGACAGTGACATTTGGAGGACACGCTTGTTGTGTGGCATTGGAGTTGACTCAAGAGTCGCATAAGGCATGTGGCAGCTAAGCATGTGACAGCTGGGTATGTGGCAGCTGCGAAAGTGGCAGCTAAGCATGTGGCAGCTAAGAATGTGGCAGCTAAGCATGTGACATCTGGGTATGGAAATGCTGCTTTTGTAGAAATCAAGTAGTTTTCTAAGGGAAGTGCCGTAGAAGCGGAAGGGCTGTGGTGACACCACAGTGGTGTGAGCAGGGCGACTCACTGAAAGGAGGATAAAGGCGTGTGTAGGAGGACAAAGGGGTGTGAAGGAGGACAGAGGGTTGTGAAGGAAAATAGAGAGGTGTGAAGGAGGATAGAGGGGTGCTTACAGGTGTGTGAGCCCCGTTAGAGCCGTGATGGAATCGGGAATGCTGCCTGCGAAACTATTGTTTTGCAGGTACCTGAAAAGGAGATGGGGGTGTGGGTGTGGGGGAAGGTAAGCCACCTCACACTACCATAGGCCACCCCACTCAAAATCCAATAGGCCACCCCAATTCACACTCCAGTAGGCTAACCCACTCACACTACCACAGGCCACCTCACTCACACTACCACAGCCCACCTCACTCACACTACCACATGCTACCTCACTCACACTACCACATGCTACCTCACTCACACTACCACATGCTACCTCACTCACACTACCCAGGCTCCCTCACTCACACTACCCAGGCTATCTCACTCACACTACCACAGGCTACCTCACTCACACTACCACATGCTACCTTACATTGAAATAGGCTTGCCTCACACTACCATAGGCTACCTCAAGGTACCATACACTACCGCACAAATCCTGGATTTGAAATCCACACATTTGAGACATCAAGTCAAGCCCGGGAGCATGTTTCTGATTTACATGAATATGCCGCGTCTTGAGTTGAGACGACGGCTTTCATTCAGAGCAGCGCACAGCTCGTCACACACAGGGCTTTCATTTCTTTGCAGGTTACCGCACATCACCATAGGCTACCGAGCATTACCGTAGCCTACCGTATGTCACCCACAAAGCTTTCATTCAGAGCAGCGCATCGTCACGCACAGGGCTTTAATTTCTTTGCACACTGCACATCACCACAGGATACGGCATTTTACCGTAGCTACCGCACGTCACTCACAGGGCTTTCATTTCTTTGCAGTTGCCAATGTGCGACGGAAGTGACCCGGTTAGATTGTTTTCCGATGACCCCCTGCCACAGGCACGCCCGTTACAAGCACATGTGCACAGCAGTATGTGATCAGTAAATGCTCGTGCCTGCGAGTACAGCGTCGTGACTGGTTTAGCAGCAACGAGTGGGAAGAGACAACAGGGAATAGAGCACAGAAATCACCTCTAAGAAATCCCTAAAAAGTGCAGAATGTCCCAAAAGGAGTCTGCCCGCCTGGACCTCCAATCACTTTGGTTTGGAGATGTGATTTGGACAAATCATACATGGATATGGTTTATTCATCTTGCGGAGTCAGTACCCTAATTGGGTTAGAAGGAAGCATTCGCACCATTGGAGCAGCTTGGGGAAGAGACTGAAGTTGGGAAGAGGGCCGCTGAGTTGGTTGACATCGATTGATCTATTGTGGGGGATTGAGAGAGGAGAGAGAAAAGGAGAGGAGAGGTAAGTAGGGGGGCGAGGAGAGAGAGGTGGGGAGAGAGGCAAGGAGAGAGGGAAAGAGAGAGGGGAGGATGGAGATGATTTGACTCGACTTGACTTGACTCACAAGTCACTCATGCTGACGAGGTTGGTGTTCCCTTGTCACGAAATGACTGCTGAGCCGACTGAAAAGACAAGTGAACACATGACTTGAGTCGACTGATGTTGACTTCACTTGACTTGCGTTGACTTAAGTTGACTTGCCTTGCATTGACTTGAATTGACTTGACTTGACTCACACGTCTCTCAGATTAACCAGGTTGGTGAAGGTCTTGGGGAAGCTACCTGTGAGGCTGTTGCGAGCCATGGAGCTGATGGGTGGAGAGGGGCGCAAGGAGATAAAGCATTGCGTAGGTAGGTTTGGGGTGGGAGATGGGGAATTAAGCTGAGAAACATAGGAACGAAAGAACCAAGCCTGCGAACAAAAGTTGCAGGGCTTTCCAGAAGAGGACAGGTGGGCTGCTGCAAAGGGCCAGCTGCACGGCACGGCACCTAATTATCGCACTCACACGTCCAGTTCAACTATTCATGACCATCACGCCACTACAGATTAGATTGTTACTAGCAGCACAGCTACTCGCAGGCCGTTAGGCATCAGCACTCACAACCAGGTGAGAGCAGCAGACTTTTGAGTCACTTCGAAACTCAATGTAGCAAGCAACACTTGCAAGTTGCTAGGTAGCAGCACTCACAACCAGGTGAGTGCAGTGAGCTGGCCAATGGTGGACGGGATGGGGCCCGTGATGCCGTTCCTATCCAATGTCCTGGCAGCACCATCGTCCATCAAAACAAACAAACAACAAGGCATTGGTCGATGGTAGATGGGCAATGGTCAAACGTGTATGGGCAACAATCAATGGACGGGCAATGGGCAGTGAGTTAGCCATAGGCCAATGGCAGGTAAGATGGACCACAGTGGTGCTATTCCGTTCACATCCAAATTCTTGCCACCGCAGCAAGCAAGCAACTCAGCAACCAAGCAAGCAAGGCAGCAAGCAAGACAGCAAGCAGCGGTAGCAGCAGCAACAATTAACAAGCAGCAGCGGTAGCCACATCCATTTGCAGCGGAGGCGGCGGCACTGACAGGTGTGAGAGAGCCACCAGGTCACCGATAGTGGAAGGCAGGGGCCCTCCCAGATTCAGCCCCGTGAGCTTTCTGACATATATGGGTCGTGTGCGGGGGGTGGGAGTGGGGTGAGGCGATGCAGCACCAGTAATTTTGTTGAGGGGATGATGATGTGTGCTGCGTGCACCATGCATGCATATGGACATGTATGTGTACGCGTTGGTGGACGTTCATGCATGCATGCATGCATGCACCCATGTAACCGGCAAACGATTGAGTCTGGAGCAACAGACAAGCGACCAATACGTGCTAATTCACAGCAGCATGCCACGTCATCGCGTTCATGCCATGACACAGAGTGCCACGTCATCTGACCCACTACAACATGCCATGTGGCCCGTAACATGCCATGTGGCCCGTAACATGCCAAAGGCCAGCCACTGCCGCATCTCATGCTACGTCGTTCACAACACGCCACATCAGCACCACGTACATCCACGTCACCATGCCATCAGCATTGCATGATATGTTGTAGGCAACGCTGCAGTCCCCGTTGGTGTCCCATTGGTCGAACGTCATCCCCCATGACGTCTGCATGTCCAATAATGCTTGCACTGACGTCAGCATGGAGGAGTGTGTAGGGGTGGGGGGAGGGTGGGGGAAGGGGGAGGAAGGAAAGGAGAAAGGGGAGGGTGGGAGAATGGGGTAAGTGGGGGGAGGGGGTTGGTTGGGGAAATAGATCAAGAGACCTCGGGGGAGAGAAAGGGAGGAAAGACGTTGCGGGGAAAGGTAGGCAAGGAGTGGGAGGGTGCACGGTGTAGTAGTAAGCTAATAATTGAACTCAATGGGGTTGGTCGTGCCGTGTCAGTGCCACACGGTGACTCGTGATGACTCATGATGAGTCAAGATGAGTCAGGATGAATCAAGATGACTCATGATGACTCGTGATGACCCTATTGACTCATGATGACTTCTATTGACTTATGATAATACCAAATGACTCATATTAGCTCAATGATTCAAAATGACTCAAGATGACTTAAGGTGAATCAAAATGACTCAACAAAGTTCAGATGAATCAAGATGACTCAAGATGACTCAAGATGACTCAAGATGACTTCGGATGAATTATTATGACGCATGACGACTCTGGTTTCGAGAACAAGGACCCTCTACTTGCCACATTGGCTGCACGACCCGAAGTCTCCCACGGCTTATGATGACTCATGGTGGCTCATGATGGCCCACGATGGCGCATGATGGCTCGTGATGGCTCATGATGGCTCATGATGGCTCATGATGGCCCACGATGGCGCATGATGGCTCATGATGGCTCATGATGGCTCATGATGGCTCATGGTGGCCCACGATGGCTCATGATGGCTCATGATGGCTCATGATTGCTCATGGTGGCTCATGATGGCTCATGATGGCTCATGATGGCTCATGATGGCTCATGATGGCGCCCATGATGGCTCAACTGGCGCGGGATGACTTATAAGGCTCATGATAAGACCATGACGACTCCGGCTTTAAAAAAAGGTCCCCCTACTTGCCCGTTGGCTGCACGACCTGAGAACTCCCGTTACACTCACACTGGCTTTTGTCAATCGTCTGTCCTTGCCCCATGACGTCAGCATACTGCACAGGAGAAGCATTGCCACCGTCGGCCAATCGCGATTCGCCGCCATCGCGGAAGCGGCGAAAGATGATGAACCTGCGGCGGAGCTGCGACGCGTGCCGTTCGAAAAGAGTTTGAGCTTATTAGCGGCACGTAATAGCGACGCGACGACTCTTTCTAAGTGATTCGGTACGGTGTATACACCGTAATAGGTCTCTAAGATAGGAAAACTTCAATAAATATCAAGATTCTTAGATAGGCTTGTAAGTCGACGTTAGTGCGCGAGCTACTAAAAGTACTAGTACTACTACCTAAACGGTCCTCATCGAGCATCGTCTCGCCAGATGCAACCTAAATAGTGCACGTGTTACAGTACGACGAGGTCGAAGGTGTCCTCAAGTACGCTCGAATGCGGCTCAGTGAGATGCTTTTACGCTTTGCCGCTTTCATATAGCTTTCTAGAACGGTTACGTACGGTATAGCACAAAGAGAACTTCAAAGAGAAATCCCCCATGCGGTTCCTGGTTTCACCGCATCTGCTTCACTGCTGAACAATGGAAAAGTTTCCGTTGCATTCTGGTTTCTGTCGTGCAGGGGGGCCACGACGATACGAGGAGATTTCGAGGTTTCTCAAAGATGATGATGAAGTGCGACTGGCGAGCTGTTGTACTGTAAACCAATAGACTTCGTCGCCAGTCCGCTTCCCCTATCATGCTGGCAAGTGAGATTTGCCAGCGAGGCTTGTGTCGCGGACTTCGTTGACTGCAGCAAACGCGGATGCTCGTATACACGGTAATCCATTACTCTTGCTAAATCTGCTGATTGACAAATACATTATTTACAAGTTTAGACACAGCTTACTCTACCAAACTGTACTGTGCAACTTGTTGTGTGCATGTCCTCAGTTCAGGTGTAATTGTTGTGTGAAGCTATGTCCGTCCCACCTAAAACTGCATATGTGTGTATCTATTGATCACCCAGTTAGTAGGGCGGTTGTGAACAACCTGTTCATCCCTTGCTCACATGTTCTACGTAATTGGCAACGTACCAAGAAACAAAGCACCAAAACACACAGCACCATGCAAAAACTCTAGCCATACACCGTAAAATAACTCTAGCCATATCACACAGAATTAACCGTAACGCCCCAATCCGGCCGACCATCAGCATCACCATCACCACCACCGAACCCATTCTCCAAACCACCGCTCCCCTCGCCTCCATAAACATCATCCGGGTCCGTGAGCCCGAAAAAGTCCGTCCGAATGGCCTTGAGCGTGGCCAGCACCTCCCCCATGGGCGGGCGGTCGGTGAAGGGCATGGCGGTGCATCGAATGGCGAGCTCAGCGAGGGAGAGGAAGGAGGACTCGGGCACGTCCAGATGCGGGTCCTTCAACTCGTCTGTCTTGCCCTCGTCTATCAGAGGTGCCGCCTGGTAGGTGGGGAGAGAAGGACGAGCAAGAACAAGGGGGAGGGATGGCAATGAGGGGTAGGTGAGTGAATGGAGCATGGAGAGGAAGGAGGACTCGAGCACGTCCAGATGCGGGTCCTTGAGCTCCTCTGACTTGCCCTCGTCTATGAGCGGTGCAGCCTGGTTGGTGGGGAGGGGGGAGGGAGAAAGCGCAGGGGAGAAATGAGGGGCAGGCGAGTGCATGGAGGGAAGGACAAGTCAGGCACGTCCAGATGTGGGTCCTTGAGCTCCTCTGTCTTGCCCTCATCGATGCGATGAGAGGGGCTGCCTGGTTAGTGGGGAAAGAAACAGGGGAGACAGGGTAGGGGAGCAGCAGTGAGGGGCGGGAGAGTGCAGGGAGGGAAGGAGGCAGCTCTAGCAAGGAGCGGTTTTCACCCAGTCTGTGACGTGTCCTCCCCGTGCTCCCCACCCCAAGTGAAACACCTGGTCAGCAACAGCATCAGCACTAACCCAGTCAGCACCAGTAACACTCATCCAGTGAGCAGCACTCATCCAGTGAGAAGCACTCACCCAATCAGCGATGTGCACGTGGTCCTCCCCATGCTCCGCCTGCACCTGGATGAACGGCGGCCGCCCCGTGAGCAGCTCGAGAAAAATGACACCAAAGCTGCAAGGGATGAACAAGGTGAGGGAGAGAAGGGAGGGGTTGAGGAATCACCGAATGGAAGCATGGAGCACCCAGGCTGGTGGCCGCCTCGTCATCGAGTTGAGGAGCATCACTTCACAACTGTCTATATCTGAGTCACTTGTGAGAATTCCCAAAAGACTCTTCACAACTCGAGGAGCATCATTTCACAACTGAAAAATGTTTTAGGCTTCACCTGAACACATCCGAGGCCTTGGTGGCGATGTGAGAAGTCAGGTACACCGGATCCACGTATCCCGGGGTGCCAAACAGCCGCCCAGCGCTCACTGCGCTCTGCTCGTTCCTCTGCAGCAGCCCATAATTCGAGACCTTGGCCTGCCAGCTCTTGTCGATGAGGATGTTGGCGGGCGTGAGGTCCCCATGCACCATGCCCACCGAGTGCAGGTACTGCAGGCCGTGCGCCATGCCTATGAGGATGTCAACCCTTTCCCACAGGGCGAACGAGGCTCGGAAGGTCTCTGTTAAGGGGGTAGAGGCAGGGGCAGGGGGAGGGGTAGGGTAAGAGGGCATGTTGGCGGGCTTGAGGACCCCATGCACCATGCCCACAGAGTGCAGGTACTGCAGGCCATGCGCCATGCCTATGAGGATGTCCACTCGCTCCCATAAGGCGAAGGACGCCCAGAAGGTCTCTGTTAAGGGGGAGGAGGGAGAGGGGGAGGGGCAGGAGAGTGGCTGAGTTCCCCGTGGTGCACTTACTGATGCACTGCGAACTGCACCTGCACCTGCACCATCCCGGTGGAGAGCACAGCAGTGGGGACACACTGCATACAAGTAGCAAATTCACCTTGATACAAGAAGCGGCTGAGGTTCCCGTGGTGCACTTACTGAGACACTGCGAACTTCCCCTGCACCTACACCATGCCTTGCCTTTCAGCTGCTGCTGCACTAGAAAAAAATCTCCACTGGCTGTCACACAGGCCACTAACCTTGGTAGAGGTAGCGGCTGAGGTCCCCGTGGTGCACGTACTCGTACACTGCGATCTGCTCCTCCACCTGCACCATCCTTGGTGGATAGCAATGTCCACACCCTGTTAGAAGAGGCGGCTCACCTTGGTAGAGGTAGCGGCTGAGGTCCCCGTAGTGCACGTACTCGTACACTGCGATCTGCTCCTCCACCTGCACCATCCTTGGTGGATAGCAATGTCCACACCCTGTTAGAAGAGGCGGCTCACCTTGGTAGAGGTAGCGGCTGAGGTCCCCGTAGTGCACGTACTCGTACACTGCGATCTGCTCCTCCACCTGCACCATCCTCGGTGGATAGCAATGTCCACACCCTGTTAGAAGAGGCGGCTCACCTTGGTAGAGGTAGCGGCTGAGGTCCCCGTAGTGCACGTACTCATACACTGCGATCTGCTCCTCCACCTGCACCATCCTTGGTGGATAGCAATGTCCACACCCTGTTAGAAGAGGCGGCTCACCTTGGTAGAGGTAGCGGCTGAGGTCCCCGTGGTGCACGTACTCATACACTGCGATCTGCTCCTCCACCTGCACCATCCGGCCGCCCTCCACCCGCGTGTCTGAGTCCACACAGTATCCCAGCAGGTGCGCGAGGTTCGGGTGCCACTTGCTTGCTATCTGCTCCACCTGGTGAATGGGGAGGGCGATTGGGAGGCAAGCAGGGTAAGAGGCAGGGAAAGGAGAGGTGTGATTGAGTTGAGCCGCCCTCCACCCGCGTGTCTGAGTCCACAAAGTATCCCAGCAGGTGCGCGCTATCTGCTCCACCTGATGTGGTGGGTGGTTGTAAGAGAATGGGCAACAGGTTCGGCAACAGGTTCGGCAACAGGTTCGGCAACATGCACTCAGCTCTCAACGGTCACCTCCTTGTCAAAGTGCTTGGACCGCTCCTTGTATCGCTTCACAGCCCACGTGCTGGCGGGGTTGTACGGGCACGTGCCCTTGTACACGTCGCTGTGCTGCCCGCTGCCTATGCGGCTCTCCTCGCTCCAGTTGTTGGTGGCCCGGCGGATCTCCACCAGGGAGTAGCGGCAGCACAGCGACGGGATGAGGCCCGCATCATCAAACTCCTCCTGGTCTGTGTTTGGGAGGAGAGGGAGAAAGAGATGAAGTGAGAGAGATGAAGAGAGAGAGATGAAAGAGAATGAGTGGAAGTGAGAGAGATGAAGAGAACGGGTGCCTAAATGGTTCTCCTCGTTCCAGTTGTTTGTGGTCCGGCGGATTTCAACCAGGGAGTAGCGGCAGCAAAGGGAGGGAATGAGCCCAGCAAAGGACTCGAAAGGAAGACTCACCCACAACTTTAACGTGCTTGAAGGGGGACGAGCCTGGCCGACAGCAGCACCAGACGAGGAAAGCCACAAGTACAGCCGTGAGCAGGAGCAGAGAACCGCACACCACCGCAATGATTGCTGCCGTGCTCAGCCCACCACCAGCACTACCACCACTGCCATCACTCCCACTCTCCCCCCCGTTGTCTACTGCCAGCAGCTCAAGGGGCTGGCAGGAGGCGCAGAACTGGGGGCAGAGGCGGCAGAAGGAGGAGGAGTTGGACTGGGAGACTAGGCAGAGGGACGCGGACGCGGGGCACGGCTGGGCTGTGGCGTTGACGGTCCTGTGGGTTGGGGCAAGGGGATACAGGGAGAAAGAGAGCAGCAAGGATAGGTGAGGGGGCTGGCAGGAGGCGCAGAACTGGGGGCAGAGGTGACAGAGGGAGGAGCAGGCGGACTGGGCGACTAGGCAGAGGGACGCGGACGCGGGGCACGGCTGGGCTGTGGCGTTGACGGTCCTGTGGGTTGGGGAAGCGGGGTGGAGGGGGAAGGGTGAAAGAGAAGGGGGAAATGATAGGAAGAAAAGAAATACTTTGATCAGATTCGTCTTCTCCCATCGGGGGGCTGGCAGGAGGCGCAGAGCTGGGGGCAGAGGCGGCAGAGGGAGGAGCAGGCGGACTGGGAGACTAGGCAGAGGGACGAGGAAGGCAGGCAGGGCTGGGGTGGGCTGTGGTCGAGTTTTGAGTCAACTCAAAAGGCGGCAGAATGAGGAGTTGGAATGGGAGACTAGGCAGAGGGACGAGGAAGGCGGGCAGGGCTGGGCTGGGCTATGGTGTTGAGTCGTGTTTTGAGTCGACTCAAAAAACGACTCATTACACGCGGAAGGCGGGCAGGGCTGGGCTGTGGTGTTGATGGTCCTGTGTGTTGGGGCAAGCTAAGCGCTGTAAGGTGCAACAAAAGAAGAGCCGTAAGGGACAAGACAAGCAAACCGATTCTAGAGACCACTTAAGAGAAGGCAGTAAAAAGGGCGTGCCGTGCCGTGCTGCTTTTTTGAGACGTCTCAAAACTAAGTGGGGGCTGTGCTGTGCCTTGCTGCTGTACCTCCAGTCAACTTACAGTGCTTTCAGCAGGAAAAGTTTTCCAAGGGTGGCTGGCAGGCAGATTTTGAGTCGACTCAAAACACGACTGCAGCTCCAGTGGAGTCAACTTACAGTGCTTTCAACACGGAGAGCTTTCCAAGGGTGGCTGGCAGGGCGCCTGAGAGCTGGTTGGCGTGCAGTGCTCTGGGAGAGAGGGGGGATGAGGAGGGGATGGGGGAGGTCAGGGAGAGGGAAGAGAGCAGGGAGAGGGAAGAGAGCAGGGAGAGGGAAGAGAGCAGGGAGAGGGAAGAGAGCAGGGAGAGGGTGGGCGGGTCGTACTAGCGTGGATGGCAGGGCTCCTGAGAGCTGGTTGGCGTGCAGTGCTCTGGGAGAGAGGCGCAGGGTGGGGGGACGGACGGGAGATGTGAGGGGAGGAGGGCGAGAAAAGAGAGCATGGAGTGAGAATTCTCCCACCACCCATCCATGGGCAAGTCAAGTCATTGCAGAGTGCGGGGTAGGCACTAGGTTACAGACAGGACAGTGAGATTGGAGAGAAGGCCAAGGGAAGGTCGGAGGGCGCGTGAGGGCATGACTTTTCAGGCGCCTCTAGAGAGTGCGGCGGGGTAGGTAGCAGGTAGGCTGCATTGCAGTAGAGTAGGTAGAGTTGCCGAGTGCGCGATAGAAGGCCAAGGGAAGGCGCGAATGTTTTTGAGACGTCTCAAAAACACCCTCTCTACACGAAGGCGCGATAGGTTACAGAAGACTCACAGAACAGTGAGGTTGGAGAGAAGGCCAAGGGAAGGCGGGAGGGCGCCTAAGAACACGTTGTTGTTTTTTGAGGCGCCTCAAAAATGGTGGGATAGGTTACAGAAGAAGACTCACAGGACGGTGAGGTTGGAGAGAAAGCCAAGGGAAGGCGGGAGGACGCCTGAGAGCATGTTGTTGTCCAGCCGCCTGGAAGAGAGATATTCGCCAAGGGATGAAAGGAGAGGGATGAAAGAGAGAGAAGGCAAGAGCGGTGAGGGTGTGGAGAGGGCTTTACAGACGTGTTTGAGGCGCCTCAAAAACGGTCTCAAGAACGGTGAGGGTGTGGAGAGGGCTTTACAGACTGTTCCCACCCACCCCATGCAAAACGACCAGCTCTCCTCCCCACCCATCTCCCTCCCCATTGTCTCACATGTCTCGCATGGCATGCAGCTGGCCTATGCTGTCCGGTAGACTGCCGCTGATGCTGTTGTTGGATAGGTAACTGACGTTTGAAGGGGAAACAATGGGGTTTGGGAGGGGCGAGGGAGGCGGAGGAGGAGAGGCAGAGGGGGGGAGATGAATGGTACAGTTTTGCGCGCGGAGGGAATGGGTGGTGGTGAGGCAGAAAGGAAGGGCGGAAAGATGCAGTTAGCGCACGGGGGACTTAGTTGGGAAGGAAGGATTAGATAGGAGGCCAGTCCGATTTGTAGTCAACCATTCAATCAAGAAAGATTTGATTCGATTTGATTGGATGCTTACAGTATCTCCAGGCTGGTGCAATTGCCGATCTCGGTTGGGATTGGGCCGGTGAGTTTGTTGTCCTCAATCCACCTGCACACGTGGCATGCAGAGAAGGTGGCACGTGGCAAGAAGGAAGAACATGAGAAGGTGGCACGTGGCAAGAAGGAAGAACATGAGAAGGTGGCACGTGGCAAGAAGGAAGAACATGAGAAGGTGGCACGTGGCAAGAAGGAAGAACATGAGAAGGTGGCACGTGGCAAGAAGGAAGAACATGAGAAGGTGGCACGTGGCAAGAAGGAAGAACATGAGAAGGTGGCACGTGGCAAGAAGGAAGAACATGAGAAGGTGGCAAACAAGGAAGCAAACAAACGAAGAAACAAAGACAGACACATTCAAACACACAGATTACTGTGCCATCACGGTGGGTGGCTTACAGGTGCTCCAATTCATCTAGGCCGCCGATCTCGGGCGGCAAACTGCCGCTGATTTGATTCCCTGACAGGTACCTGCAGAACGTGCATCAGACAGAGATGATGGCGGGTGGAGAGGATGATAAGTTACTTAGTTAAGAGGATGATTAGTTAAGAGGATGATTAGTTAAGAGGATGATCAGTTAAGAGGATGATTAGTTAAGGGGATGATTAGTTAAGAGGATGATTAGTTAAGAGGATGATTAGTTAAGAAGATGATTAGTTAAGAGGATGATTAGTTAAGAGGATGATTAGTTAAGAGGATGATTAGTTAAGAGGATGATTAGTTAAGAGGATGATTAGTTAAGAGGATGATTAGTTAAGAAGATGATCAGTTAAGAAGATGACTAGTTAAGAGGATGATTAGTTACCTCGTGAATGCAGCCAGAACAGAACCACCCACGATCACCCACCATCACCCATCCCCACCACTCACATCCATTTGAGCTTCTTGAGAGCCCCGATGGCAGGTGGAATGGATCCGGAGAGCTTATTCGGACTCAGGTCGCTGCATGCACGACGAGGGGAAGGGCGGGAGGAAGGGAGAAGAAACGGGGCGTTCTTTGAGAATCCCACAAAGTCGACGTATGTTTTTTGAGAATTCTCAAAAAACACGAAGTCAACTGCAACAAAACGGGATGGGGCCTGACAGCTGATTCGGATGGACTGAGGTCGCTTCGCTGCATGCGCAATGCAGAGCAGAGCAAGCAAGGGAGGAGGGGGAGGGGGGTGAATTGGTGAGGGAGGAGCAGAAACCAGTGCAGTGCGGTGCGGTGCAGTGCTTTGCTTTGCTTTGCCTTACAGTGTGAGCAGGTTTGTGAGTGCTGAAAACGAATCCGGAATCGGCCCTGTGAGCGCATTGCCTCCCAGCTCACTGGGGGGACGAACAGGGTAGATAGAGAGGGGTGGAGATGGGTTTGTTTTGTATGAGCAACCCAAAAGTCGAGTTGAAGGAGTGGGAGACAGGATCAAGGAAGCGAAGCGAGGAAGGGAGAAAGTGAGAGGCGTGAATTGAAGGGAGAAAGTGAGCGGCGTGAATTGAAGGGAGTGAGCGGCGTGAATTGAAGGGAGTGAGCGGCGTGAATTGAAGGGAGTGAGCGGCGTGAATTGAAGGGAGTGAGCGGCGTGAATTGGAGGGAGTGAGCGGCGTGAATTGAAGGGAGTGAGCGGCGTGAATGGAAGGGAGTGAGCGGCGTGAATGGAAGGGAGTGAGCGGCGTGAATTGAAGGGAGTGAGCGGCGTGAATTGAAGGGAGTGAGCGGCGTGAATTGAAGGGAGTGAGCGGCGTGAATTGAAGGGAGTGAGCGGCGTGAATTGAAGGGAGTGAGCGGCGTGAATTGAAGGGAGTGAGCGGCGTGAATTGAAGGGAGTGAGCGGCGTGAATTGAAGGGAGTGAGCGGCGTGAATTGAAGGGAGTGAGCGGCGTGAATTGAAGGGAGTGAGCGGCGTGAATTGGAGGGAGTGAGCGGCGTGAATTGAAGGGAGTGAGCGGCGTGAATTGAAGGGAGTGAGCGGCGTGAATTGGAGGGAGTGAGCGGCGTGAATTGGAGGGAGTGAGCGGCGTGAATTGAAGGGAGTGAGCGGCGTGAATTGGAGGGAGTGAGCGGCGTGAATTGAAGGGAGTGAGCGGCGTGAATTGAAGGGAGTGAGCGGCGTGAATTGAAGGGAGTGAGCGGCGTGAATTGAAGGGAGTGAGCGGCGTGAATTGAAGGGAGTGAGCGGCGTGAATTGAAGGGAGTGAGCAGCGTGAATTGAAGGGAGTGAGCGGCGTGAATTGAAGGGAGTGAGCGGCGTGAATTGAAGGGAGTGAGCGGCGTGAATTGAAGGGAGTGAGCGGCGTGAATTGAAGGGAGTGAGCGGCGTGAATTGGAGGGAGTGAGCGGCGTGAATTGAAGGGAGTGAGAGGCGTGAATTGAAGGGAGTGAGAGGCGTGAATTGAAGGGAGTGAGCGGCGTGAATTGAAGGGAGTGAGCGGCGTGAATGGAAGGGAGTGAGCGGCGTGAATGGAAGGGAGTGAGCGGCGTGAATTGAAGGGAGTGAGCGGCGTGAATTGAAGGGAGTGAGCGGCGTGAATTGAAGGGAGTGAGCGGCGTGAATTGAAGGGAGTGAGCGGCGTGAATTGAAGGGAGTGAGAGGCGTGAATTGAAGGGAGTGAGAGGCGTGAATTGAAGGGAGTGAGCGGCGTGAATTGAAGGGAGTGAGCGGCGTGAATTGAAGGGAGTGAGCGGCGTGAATTGAAGGGAGTGAGCGGCGTGAATTGAAGGGAGTGAGCGGCGTGAATTGAAGGGAGTGAGCGGCGTGAATTGAAGGGAGTGAGCGGCGTGAATTGAAGGGAGTGAGCGGCGTGAATTGAAGGGAGTGAGCGGCATGAATTGAAGGGAGTGAGCGGCGTGAATTGAAGGGAGTGAGAGGCGTGAATTGAAGGGAGTGAGAGGCGTGAATTGAAGGGAGTGAGCGGCGTGAATTGAAGGGAGTGAGCGGCGTGAATTGAAGGGAGTGAGCGGCGTGAATTGAAGGGAGTGAGCGGCGTGAATGGAAGGGAGTGAGCGGCGTGAATTGAAGGGAGTGAGCGGCGTGAATTGAAGGGAGTGAGCGGCGTGAATTGAAGGGAGTGAGCGGCGTGAATTGAAGGGAGTGAGCGGCGTGAATTGAAGGGAGTGAGCGGCGTGACTTGAAGGGAGTGAGCAGCGTGAATTGAAGGGAGTGAGCGGCGTGAATTGAAGGGAGTGAGCGGCGTGAATTGAAGGGAGTGAGCGGCGTGAATTGAAGGGAGTGAGCGGCGTGAATTGAAGGGAGTGAGCGGCGTGAATTGGAGGGAGTGAGCGGCGTGAATTGAAGGGAGTGAGCGGCGTGAATTGAAGGGAGTGAGCGGCGTGAATTGAAGGGAGTGAGCGGCGTGAATTGAAGGGAGTGAGCGGCGTGAATTGAAGGGAGTGAGCGGCGTGAATTGAAGGGAGTGAGCGGCGTGAATTGAAGGGAGTGAGCGGCGTGAATTGAAGGGAGTGAGCGGCGTGAATTGAAGGGAGTGAGCGGCGTGAATTGAAGGGAGTGAGCGGCGAGAATTGAAGGGAGTGAGCGGCGTGAATTGAAGGGAGTGATCGGCGTGAATTGAAGGGAGTGAGCGGCGTGAATTGAAGGGAGTGAGCGGCGTGAATTGAAGGGAGTGAGCGGCGTGAATTGAAGGGAGTGAGCGGCGTGAATTGAAGGGAGTGAGCGGCGTGAATTGAAGGGAGTGAGCGGCGTGAATTGAAGGGAGTGAGCGGCGTGAATTGAAGGGAGTGGGTGGGTGGGAGGAACACCGAGGGGTGAGGGTGGGAGCAGAAACTCACAGGTGCTGCAACTTGGAAAGCTTTCCGAGAGTTTCCGGGATGTTTCCAACCAGGCGGTTGCCGTTGAGGTTGCTGCAGTCATGGAGGGTGGGGAAGGGACGGACGCAGAGGGACGGAGAGGGACCGAAGGAGACGATCCATGAGGCGGTGACTTTTGAGTCGACTCAAGACACAAGAGGCGTCTCAGAGAAAGCTTTCCAAAAGAGAGTACGGGGATGCTCCCAACCAGGCGGTTGCTGTTGAGGTTGCTGCAGTCATGGAGGGTGGGAGAGGAAGTTTTTTGTTTTTGAGTCGACTCAAAAACAGAGTCATGGAGGGTGGGAGAGGAATGGAAGGAGAGGGTCGGAGGAGCAGGTCGGAAGGAGAGGATTCATGAGGCGGTGACTTTTGAGTCGACTCAAGATTCATGAGGCGGTGACTTTTGAGTCGACTCAACATTCATGAGGCGGTGACTTTTGAGTCGACTCAACATTCATGAGGCGGTGACTTTTGAGTCGACTCAACACTCATGAGGCGGTGACTTTTGAGTCGACTCAACACTCATGAGGCGGTGACTTTTGAGTCGACTCAACACTCATGAGCAGTGCAGTGACTTTTGAGTCGACTCAACACTCATGAGGCGGTGACTTTTGAGTCGACTCAACACTCATGAGGCGGTGACTTTTGAGTCGACTCAACACTCATGAGGCGGTGACTTTTGAGTCGACTCAACACTCATGAGGCGGTGACTTTTGAGTCGACTCAACACTCATGAGGCGGTGACTTTTGAGTCGACTCAACACTCATGAGGCGGTGACTTTTGAGTCGACTCAACACTCATGAGGCGGTGACTTTTGAGTCGACTCAACACTCATGAGGCGGTGACTTTTGAGTCGACTCAACACTCATGAGGCGGTGACTTTTGAGTCGACTCAACACTCATGAGGCGGTGACTTTTGAGTCGACTCAACACTCATGAGGCGGTGACTTTTGAGTCGACTCAACACTCATGAGACGGTGACTTTTGAGTCGACTCAACACTCATGAGGCGGTGACTTTTGAGTCGACTCAACACTCATGAGGCGGTGACTTTTGAGTCGACTCAACACTCATGAGGCGGTGACTTTTGAGTCGACTCAACACTCATGAGGCGTCTCAGAGAAAGCACTTTCCAAACCAGGCGGTTGCCGTTGAGGTTGCTGCTGAAAGCTTTCCCAAAGCATGGAAGGAATGGAAGGAGAGGGTCGGAAGAGCAGGTCGGAAGGGAGGGTTTGGGAAAAATAGGTGGCTGCTAGGTAGCAGAGGAGCAAAGAGAAAGAGCGAATGAGAAAAGCTGGGTTTATTGTGGTGGAACTCGGTGCAAGTGGGTGTGGGAGGCTTACAGCAGGATGAGTGCCTTGAGATTGCCGAGCTCCAAGGGGATGCTGCCTGACAGGGCATTTTGACCGAGGTTCCTGCATGGCAGGGCGGTCAGGGTACGTTGTGGTGGTTAGGGAAGTGGGGGTTGGGGGGGGGGGGGGGGGATGTTCACCGACTCAATAGTCCTCACTGGACGTTCCGACCGAGGTTCCCGCATGCATGGCAGGGCGGTCAGGGTACGTTGTGGTGGGGAGTGGAGAGGGGTGAGGATTGGTGAGCGGTGGGAGGGAATAGGAGGCGATTCTAAGGGCGGTAGGAGGGAGAGTAGGAGGGAGAGTAGGAGGGATGGGGTGTGGTGTGGGGTGGTGCAGGGATGGGGTGGGGAGTGGGGTGGCGACTCACAGAGCTTCAAGGTTGGCGAGGAGGCCGAGGGAAGCAGGGATGGCACCGGTGAGATTGTTGCCGTACAGGTACCTGCATGGATGCACGAGTGCATGGGTGCATGGGTGCAGGCACACATGGGTGATTAGAGCTGGGCGGCGGAATTGACTTTTGAGTCGACTCAAAAGTCAACTGAGAGGAGACCGAGGGAAGCAGGGATGGCACCGGTGAGGTTGTTGCCGTACAGGTACCTGCATAGATGCACGGGTGCAGGCACGTGTGGGTAGATGGATGGGTAGATGGATGGGTAGATGGATGGGTAGATGGATGGGTAGATGGATGGGTAGATGGATGGAAGGTGAGATAGTTGCCGTGCAGGTACCTTCATGGATGCATGGGTGCAGGCACGTGTGGGTAGATGGATGGGTAGATGGATGGGTAGATGGATGGAAGGTGAGATAGTTGCCGTGCAGGTACCTGCATGGATGCATGGGTGCAGGCACGTGTGGGTGGATGGATGGGTAGATGGATGGGTAGATGGATGGAAGGTGAGATAGTTGCCGTGCAGGTACCTGCATGGATGCATACACACATGGGTGAATAGAGCTGGGTGGCGGAACTGGGAGCTATAGGGTAATCACAGAGGAGGTGATGGGGGGGAAGGGGGTAACAGGGAAGATGGTCGCTGGGTGACTTTTGAGTCGACTCAAAAGTCACCGCGGAACTGGGAGCTATAGGGTAACAGGGAAGATGGTCGCTGCGGCCTTACAGTGTATCGAGGTTGGCAAAAGCGGAGATTTCTTTGGGGATGACTCCAGTGATGTTGCGATGGGCGAGGTTACTGCATGGGGGACAAAGAAGCAGAGGGGAGGTGATAAGACGGGAGGGGCACGTGAAGAGAGGGAATTTTTGAGATGTCTCAAGAAGCAGAGGGGAGGTGATAAGACGGGAGGAGGAAAGCGAGTGAGGGAGTGAGAGAAGTAGATGGAGTGAGAGAGAGAGAAAGAGAGTGAAGGAGTAAAAGAGAGTGGGGGGAGTGGCGGCGGAAGAACGTAGTAGCTGTTATGATGAGACCGGCACGAGAGCTTCAAGCTCGGCCTTCCCCCACACTTGAGGTGCGAGAGGAGTTCACGAGAGTTGCTCGGCTCTCTTATTTCTCACGGCTCGGCTCAGCACTCACATGCCCGTCACCATGCCCTGCGCGTCGCACGTTAGGCCAGACCGCAAGTCGCACTGCGCAAACGGAGGTAGCCGCCATGCCTTGCTCAGCGCCTGTAGCGGCCGCACTGGGGGCGTGGGGGGAGGGAAGGAGGGGAGAGCTCAGATTTCAGTTACCGAAAAAATGCGGAAACGCCTCGATGAGACTTTTTCAGTGGTTGAATTTTTCAGTAGTACTGTCCCTGGCGCCACTACGTACAATCGCCAGGCAGGCTTCTCTGAAACCAGAACGTGCCCTGAACGCAAAAGTGACCAAACAAATCCCGCCAGATGGAAGTTTTTTTACAGCTCTTGCGCGTACGTTGAGATTCGTGAAGTTTCGTTGAAGCAGAACTTGCGGAAGTCACGGAGGTGACGAAGAGGGAGGAGCAGAGGAGGAGAATCGCGAGGCGGAAAGCTCGCGCGGAACTCGATATTCGCGCCGAACTTAATACTCGCGTCGACAGCGCCATCATCCGGTGAAACACGGTGGTGTCTATTACGGGAAGTGCCAGCTGTTTTATACTTCAGATGCACTACTAGAACTCTAGTTGCGAGTTGCTCTTTCGGCGGAAAATAAAAGCCGAGCTTGGATATTACTTCTAGAATTGTACGCAATTGAGTGATAGCTGCTATTGTATCTTTTTGGCACTGTAATTGAAGAATCCGGTTTTGAAGAAATAGAGAGGTCCTGGCTGGAAACGAAAACCCTAGAATCTTCTGACGCACTACAAACTAAACGCGCAGAGATAAAAAGAGAAATTTTCGAACAACTATAAACGACAACTGACGCCGAAGAACGGTATGGAGTGCTGCTTACAGCTCTTCTTGAGGAGTAATCTACAACGACCAAGTATCAGATCAGATTCTACCTCGCAGTAAGAAATTGTTCAAATGCAGGAGCCTGCAGTAACAAAAACATAGCAGGATGTGAAGAAGAGAGGTGGAGGAAAAAGGGAGGGAAGGGGAAAAGGAGGACAAGGAAGGATGCGAGGAAAGGGATGGGCGAGAGGGGGTGGAATGGGGAGGGGAGGGGAAGAGGGATGCTGGGTGTGCGCAAGAAGCGGAATGTTGCGCGTGAGCGTGACGCGCAATGGAGAAAGAATTGACGGACTTCCCCCTTGCTAACTGTTTACGGGGACGAATCTTGTGCTGGATGGAGCAGACACAGGCATGGTTCTGGGGGATGTGGGATGCGAAAAGCGGTGTTGGGTCAAACGACTGACGGTTGGGATGGTTTAAGAAAGGTGAGAGGGGGCAGGGATAGATTGTGACTTGCACATGAGCTGGCATAAGCGGGCAGGGAATTGGTTAGCATGACAGCCTGACTGGTTGGTTTGTCCGCGCGAGCTGACAATTTCTTGAAAGTCTGCGCGGAAGTGGGGGATTTGAGTGCCGAGAAAGCTGCGGAGAGTCCGCCGCGGCTCGTTCATTCAACCTAGTCGTCCGGGTATGGTCTGAGATTGGCCAGCGTGGCGTGGAAGGGACGCGTGGTCTGAAAACCAGGCTGACGCGGTGCTGGGTCCCGTTTCGATTGCATCGCATAGCGTGTATAGAGCCTTCTTAGTGACTTCAATAGCAAATGATACATAGACAAACACCATAGCAACCCAGATATAGAATTGAATAAGAAAATAAAAATCAATAACTCGACTTATACATGATTTACAGCATGCATGTCATGGAATATTTTTTTCAAGATAACTATTATCTTAAGTGATTTGTACCCATTCTTTTCGCATTAAAGCAAGGGTGCACTTTGGGGGGGGTGGAGGCAAAGGTTTATCACTTGCCTCCACATGGTTACCCTGTTTTTGTTGGGAGTCCGAGCGAACCACATTTCAGTGTTGGCGGACTTGCGCGGATTGTCTCTCCCCCTCGTCAATTGCGACTTCCCAACTGGGAGTTGGGAACTTGAGTCACAACTAGGCAGTTTGTGAACCATGACCCACTCGACTCTCGTAGCACCACGACACTCGTATTGCAAGTAGTGTCAGAATGTTATTATTGTCTAGCCTGTAGTGGGGTGCTCTATAGCGAGTACAACCCAGTTAGGGTTTGCTATATGTACCCCAACTGCTGCTAGTGAAATCCCTCTCCTTTCAATCATTCTTGCCTAGTCTTGTTGACATGCTATCAGAGCAGGTCGACCCCCTTGGGTCGATCCTGTGGGTGGGCCCGCCACCTAACTGCTTCCGCTGCTATTCTGCTTCTCGCACGCCTCGGGCGCGCGCCGTCTTCTTCCTGCCGTGCGCGGAGCGCGCGGCGAAAAATTTTAGGGTTTTTCATCCCGCCGTGCGCTCAGGGCGTACGGCGGTTTTCTGCCCGCCGTGCGCCCCGAGGCGCGCGGCGGTTTCCTGCCCGTCGTGGCGCCCCCGGGGACCTGCGCGCTGCCCCCCGTCGTCCTCCTCCCGTCGCCTCGTCGCGGCGCCCTGGGGGCCCGCGCGTCCCCCCCCTCCCGTCGCCTCGTCGCGGCACCTTGGGGGCCCGCGCGCCGCCCCCTCCCGTCGCCTCGTCGCGGCGCCTAGGGGGCCCGCGCGCGGCCCCTCCCGTCGCCCGTCGAGCCGCCCTCGGGGGCCCGTGCGCGGCCCCCCTCCCGTCACCCGCCGTGGCGCCCTCGGGGGGCCCGCGCCCTGCTTCTTCGTGGCGCCCAAGAGCCACCCCGCTGCCTCCCTTTCCCTCCGTGCCCCGCCCCTGCTGTTTCCCGCGCTCCTGCCTGCGTTAGGGTTTGGGGGTGGCGGGCATGGGGGTGACCGGTGTGGGTAACCTGCGGCTCCTCCTCCTCCTCCGTCTCCCACTGCTGCAGCTGCCGCTGAGGGGGGTGGGTGTGTGGGAGCCGAGGGTTTAGGGTTTAAGGGGGGTGCCGTGGAAGTGGAGCTAGGGTGTCAGCAGGGGGTGTGTGAGAGGGGCGTGGGACGGTCGGGGGAGGTTGCGTGGAGGTAGCCGTCGTGACGCCAGCAGCGCCAGTAGTCCGGATGCCCTCGCGCGTTTCGGTAGCCCAGCGAGCCTGCTTCGCCAGTCGCCTGTGGGTCCGTTGCTCTTGTGTGTGCTCGTCGTAGCCGCGGAGCCAGATACTCCCGTAGTCCGGTGCCCTCGTGCGCTCGGTAGCCACTGTGCGCGCCGCTCCTGTTGCCCGTGTGTCTGCAGCTTCAGTCGGCGCCTTTCATCTTCTCGCCCTCACAGTTTCTCCTCCTCCTCACTTGCCCTCTATGATCACCTCTAGCTTTGCTTATAATTGTGAACTATTGCTATGCCTGCTCATTGTACTGATTACACCCCACTTTGGCTATGGGGGTGTGTCAGAATGTTATTATTGTCTAGCCTGTAGTGGGGTGCTCTATAGCGAGTACAACCCAGTTAGGGTTTGCTATATGTACCCCAACTGCTGCTAGTGAAACCCCTCCTTTCAATCATTCTTGCCTAGTCTTGTTGAAAAGTAGGTCATAGCGTAGCAACCAGAAGTCTAGTGCACCACCGTCATCAGAGCATTAGTGCAGGCAATCAATAAACTAGATGACGAGAGTAGCAGAGTTTCGCCGTCGTCAAATGCGCGAATTAGGGTTACGGCCGTCGTCATAGCGAGTCGCTAATCCGCTAATATCCATAGCAAGGGTCGCTGATCCCCTAACATTCATACCGATCGTGGCTTATTTGCTAATATCCATAGCGACAGTCGCTGATTAGCTAATATCCATCCGCTTTCCCCCTCCCGTCGACCTCGCTTTCCCCCTCCTGTCGACCTCGCTTTCCCCCTCCCGTCGACCTCGCTTTCCCCCTCCCGTCGACCTCGCTTTCCCCCTCCCGTCGACCTCGCTTTCCCCCTCCCGTTGCCCTCTCTTTCTCCCTCCCGTCGATCTCTCTTTCCCCCTCCCTTCGACCTCGCTTTCGCCCTCCCGTCGACCTCGTTTTCCCCGTCCCGCCGAACTCGCCTTCCCCATTCCGTCGTCCTCGTTTCCCCTCCCCATCGCTTGCCCCGTCGACCTCTCCTCTCCCACCTGTCGCTGCGTCAACATCGTTCTCATTCCCGCGTCGTGCCCATTCCCCTCCCTCGCGCCGACACCCTGGTTTCTGCTCCGCCGCCTTCTCCACCCTTCCTATTGCCCGTGTTTACCACCTCCTCCATCTCCCCACCCTAAGCTTCACTCTCACCCACGTCCTTCCATGCGGAACAAAGTCCTCCGCTTTCCTCTTCCTCCCATCCCTCCAGCCTCCCAGCCTGATCAAGTCCTTTTTTGCCTCCCATTCCTCCTTTCACCTTCCCAATCGTTAATTTCACCTTCACACCCCTATTCTCCCTTCAATCGCTGCGAGCGATCCTTTTTGCAGATGCCTCTTTCCCTCTTCTCACTCTCTCCCCCCCTCCTCACTCTGTTTCCCCCTGCTCGCTCTCTTTCCGCTTGCTCACTTTCTTGCTCACTATGTTCTCCCCTGCTCACTCTCTTCCCCCTGTCCTCACTCTGTTTGCCCCTTTCTCATTCTCTTCCCCCCTGCTCACTCTCTTCCCCCCTGCTCACTCTCTTCCCCCCTGCTCACTCTCTTCCCCCCTGCTCACTCTCTTCCCCCCTGCTCACTCTCTTTCCCCCTGCTCACTCTTTTCCCCCTGCGCATGCTCTTTCCACCTGCTCACTCTCTTTCCCCCTGCTCACTCTCCTCCCCCCTGCTCACTCTTTTCCCCCTGCTCACTCTCTTTTCCCGCTGCCACTCTCTCTTTTCCGCCTGCTTACCCATTGTTTCCCCCCCTCTCACTCTTTCTTTCCCCCCTGCCTACCCATTTTTCCCCCCTCTTACCCTCTCTTTTCCCCCTGCTTACCCTTTGTTTCTGCCCTGCACACTCTTTCTTTTCCCCCTGATCTTGCTCTCCCCTTCCTTGTCCCTATGCCACTCGTTATCTTGCAAGCAGGTTATGCTTCCCTGTCTGCTCCTTAGCACCTTCCCTCTCCCTTCAGTGGTGCAGATCGTCAAGCATGAAGCAACCAAGATGACAACTAGGTGAACTTCGGATAGTGTGGACCCTCTCTGTGTCGAGAATCGTCGAGAATAAGTTTCCACAGTTATTCGCAACAGAATATGCATTCAATCAGGGTTCAGGATATCCAATAATGATGTTTGGTTCTGTGTGAAGGTTTTCTGCAACACTGCTATGTGTAGAGTACATTTGTATTATAAATATCTCAATTTACAAAACTGTGTGTCACTCCTCTTAGTGCCTCAGCTCCTCCATGTGCTCTTGTGCCTGCTGCCACACCCTCGAGCCACCAAACATATGAAGGCATGGTTTCGTCCTGCACATAGCAGGACACTACACGAGGTTGCACACTCACATGGTGATGCAGGGAGAAGCGATGGTGAGGCAGGGAGAAGCGATGGCGAGGCAGGGGGAAAACAAAACGGAGGCAGGGAGGTGAAGAGACACGAATGGAAGGGAAGGGAAGGGAAGGGAAGGGAAGGGAAGGGAATAGAAGGGTTCGGAATG